GGTAGTCTCGTCTCGTTTAGTCAACTCTTATCAATTCAAATGATTTAGCACTCAATCTCAGAGGAAATATATAATAAATATATTGAAAAACAAAAAAGTATATATATATGACTTATGTGTGTATGTGTGTGTGAGAGAGAGAGAGAGAGAGAGAGAGAGAGATAGAGAGAATAATTGGACAAAATGTGATTTCTTATGACATACCATAAAGTGAATGATATGAATTCAAAAAACAACAAAAAAGTAGTTTCAATAAAAAATACATCAAATATTATATCAATCTTTTTCATTAATAGTTTTCAGTCTCACATTCAAATAAAAACCACATACTATTATATATTTTTTACACATAGAATATATCATAAACTATTGATGATATTTATTATCATATTTTTACATTATAAATAGTTTTATATTGTATATTCAAAATGAAAAATAACAATTTATAACAATAATTTTGTTGCTTTTCTTTTGTATTAAGTTTGTGAACACTTTGCAAGGAAATACCTGTTGAGAGAAAGAGAGAGAGAGAGAGAGAGAGAGTATTTGTGTGTGAGTGTGAGTGTATTGTCTAACAGTGCTCTCTCTTTCTCTCTCTCTCTCTCTCTTTCTCTTTCTCCTCTTTTAGTATAAGTATTGCATATTTTCACAAATTGGTCTTCAAAATAGTGTTTTTTTATTTACAAGCCATTTCAATAACAGGTATGATATATCATAAACATATATGAGTTGCTTATAAGTAATATAATGTCTATTAAGTAATGCTCTGCTACTTGAATAGCCTATAATAAACTATACTAAAGTATAGGTTTTGATGTTGTGATGAATAACCTGTGAAAATAAGCAGTCATTGGATATATGATGAGCACAATTGACTTGAGAGAGAGAGAGAGAGAGAGAGAGAGAGTAAGTGAGAGAGAGAGAGAGGAGATGCTCACCTCATTTAGTGTACACGTCTTATATATTTTTGTGAAATTCAAAATAAAGCCTTTATTTAAGTTAACATTTGCTAAACAATAATTTCAATATTTTTAGAGACTAATATATTTTTGATTGTGGTTATAGTTATTGGAAATAAAATATATATCAATACCATAATTAAAGAGTACTTCACGTCAGTGATTGACAGACAAATAAAATCCGAGTCATAATAGGGTGAGAAAGCATTCAATATCTATAGTTATAACTATTGGTACTTACAGTACAATATATTGTATATACAGCAATAAATTGGGGGAACAGTTGGCCACTTGTTTGACATAAATAATATTATAATTTAATTTAATGCTATAATTTAGTGCTTTCGATATGAGAGTGGCATTAGATATCTGATGGCAAATAATGAGAAAGAAAGAAAGAGAGAGGAAAAAAATTGTATAATAGTAGGACAGAGAGGTATAAACAGAGAATTATAAGGAGAGAGAGAGGGAGAGAGAGAGAGAGAGAGAGAGAGAGAGAGAGAGAGAGAGAGAGAGAGTCAGACATACAAACAAATAAATAGAAAAAAGTGAAACAAATGTTAAGAAATGTATCAATAATAGTGTATTGCATTGGTATTGGCATTAAGTTTGTGTATGTGTTCACTCATAAACTGCTAATTTTTGGGAAATGCATATTTCATTCACCAGTAGCCATAGATTTTGTGACACACATATAGTATATTTATTGGTAATCTATGGTTAAAGTGCACAGTTTGGTAACCCACCCGTTGCGATACCCAACTGTTTATCTCACAGAATGCACTTAACCCCTGACACCCATCCGAATACCACTTAATATATAAAACATTTAAATGTATTTATATATTGCAAAAAATGCCAATTGATTTGTGAGAAAGAGAAAGCACTCATTGGCCTCAAAATCAATTGGCAATAAACTACAGGTGCCGTTGTATTTCACATATACATCATTTAATAATAGCTAATAAATTATAGATATTTTGAATAAATTAAATATATAAATATATATATTGTATGTGTGTGTGTATGTGTGTATCTTGATGTCTTGAATAATATTATTTGTATATGTGCTTCAATCAACAACATAATTAAAAAATAATATAATATTTTTTTATACAATTCAGTACAAGTAATAAAATTATTAAAATATATTTTCAAAAAGTGAGAAAAATTAAATTTTAATCACATATTGTTTTGCTGTAACAAAAACAAATTCACGTTTTATATGCTATCAAATTAATATTTCAATAATAATAAAACTAATAATTAAAAAGAAAGAGAGAAATCAATGCGAATATAAAGCTTTGTCTCATAATTTCAATTTTTGTTTAAATTTAAGCATTTTGTGTAATAAAACATTTAATAGTTATTACTTTTTAATAATAATATTTTGTATAATTATTAGATATATGTTAAGATATTATTGTTAGTAATGGGTGTATTGGCCATAATGAATAACCTGGTCAATTTATTGTGCATGATCAAACAATAATGGCTTTAAATCAGCCGCTTTCACATTAATTATCAATTAATGTAAATTTGTATATAAAAAACTTATATAAATAAATTTATAGATACAGAGCCCACCCACACATTGATTTGCAATAATTTTATAATTAATTTGTGGGCAATTTATCGCGTGATTGCTATGGAGGCGAACAAGTATTGCCCATACAATTAATGTTTAGATAGTCAAGTGGTGGTGTTTGGAGGGATGTGCCGTATGGTTGTACTTATAGTGATCCCGGACACAAGTGCGCAAACTTCTATAATATTGCGATAGCCCTGTGCGGCAAACAACTTATTTCTGTGAATCACTGATTGTAATCCATGACTAAATCCAAATTAAATAATACAATAATAAAGTAATTATACCAACACTACACTCACAATGTATTAATATAAACGGCAATAGTATTAGAGTATTTCAATAGTATATAATATTGAATGAGAGGATGTAATGAAAAAATTAATTAACAAAAGGTTTAGTTCAGAGAAGGCTTTTATTCAATGGTTCAGCCGTTTCTTCATTTGTAACTATTATATAACTTATATATATATATTTCGGTATTTTATAATTATAAACAGACAAGTTTTGAGAGAGAGAGAGAGAGAGAGAGAGAGAGAGAGAGAGAGAGAGAGAGAGAGAGAGAGAGAGCTATAAGGTCAGACTAATTCATAAGATTTTTATTTTGAATTAAATAAGCGAAGTGCGAAAAATTGTATATATCTTTGTATCGTTTCATGGATTTAATCGGGAATTTATAATTAACTTATTTGTAAAACAAATGCCTGAACTTTTCACAAAAAACATATTAGACTACATATAAAATATTTTATTTTTACATTCAGTTAAACTTTATATACTAAATATATTTTATTACATTATTATTGCAATTGTTGTTTTTATTGTTGTTTTGTGTTGTTCTCATTCAATTGGTGTTCAAACTTCAAATTAAAATAAAATATATAATGTTTTTTATTTGTTAGCACAACAGAGAACACATTATACATTATATACACATACCATTCCCCAGCAATCAATGGCAATGCCGGTGCAATTGCGGGCAGGAATGCTCAGAGCTTTTCAATTACAGATATTCAATGATAACAAAATATAATACATAATAAATAGTGAATGAATGGCTAAGAGAGAAAAATCATTTTATAATGAGTTCACTTAATACTAAGTATATACACTATACACCTATAATAGCCACACATACAAGTGTTATTAAGAGAGAGAGAGAGAGAGAGAGAGAGAGAGAGAGAGAGAGAGAATTGATAGAAGAGAGCAAACAATTTTCGGCAATTGATTTGCCATTCAATTGTTATCTACGGATCAAAACCGAGTGATTAATTATATTTGAAAACAAATTGTGTGCAACACTTCTAAGGCTTGTGTAGTTTGAAAGTTAGCACTAAAAACTATGTATGTTATATAAATCAGAGCTCATCCAATATACACATATATACACAATAAGCACTGGGCTTTATTATGATCATATTATGCCATAACAAGTGCACATATAAAAAAAGACTATTATCGGAGTTATGTATGTTTGCTCTTCAATCAAAAATCAAGGCAATTGTCTGCCAGAATCAATGAGGGTGGCCAATAGTTACCGGTGCTGCATTAGATCCACAAGTAGTAGACCCACAAAAAACACATAAGCAATCATTGATGGTTTGTGTGAAGCATTTTTTTGCTGCATCCCTATCCCTATTTCGCAATTTCGGCGCTTAATCACAAAAACCATACATACATATAATATAAATAATAATTTCTATGATGTGATCAATGCTTACATCAAATATAAAATAACATGTGTTTTCTTAAGTGCTGTTTGATTGACATGTAATTTGTTCAATAGTTTTTCAATCCATAAGTTTCTCCATTGGTGGTCGCAATTTGCGATATGAATCGCGCACTAGATATCAATGTGCCATCGCACAGGTATCTTAGCTCAGTTATGTGTAAGCTTAGGGTCTCAAATGCAAACACCACTGTGCAGACAACAAAACTCTTAATTGCATTTATAAATTGAAATATAAAAATATATAACAAAAGTTCACTATTGTATTGTATAACAATTTCTAACAAATAATGGCAAATATTTAAATTATTTTTTTAGTTAAAATTGGTGGACATAATCAAAAATTTATATAACAAAACTATGTCTATAATATCTCTATATTATAAATTATAAGATCATATTTATATGCAAACAATTTGCATACATTTAAAGATTTTTCATTATAGTTTTAAATAAATTTTACAAAAGTAAATTAAATACATTATATTGCAATTTAAAAGAAATAAATTTTTTAAATTGCGTTATAAACAAAAGTAAAATAATAATTACATTACTATTAATAATAAAGTAATTTGAAATATTTGAAAAGTTACTCATTTGTATTTAGATTCAAACATGAGTTAACTTCATTAAAAAAACTTTTACGAGACAATCAATAAAAAATAGTCTAATATAGTGTTAAAAATAATAATAAAAATAAAGTTATATTTAACTATAAGCTTACCTTTGATTCAGTGGTTTATGGGTTGACTAATGATTGCTTTATGTATAGTGTGTTTACTAGTGTTGTTGTTGGCGTTGGTTTCAAAGTAATAACAATTTAATCGATTGGTTGTCGCGTAATATTATAGTGAAAAAACAGAGACCCGTTTGTCGCCTCAATATATCTAATAAACAGTGAGCGACCACTTGTGCTAATGTAAGCCCATTGAAAGCCCAATCTCTCTCCCAGTGCTCCTCTCGTTATTCACATAATAGTTGTCCAATAAGACTGCCAGTGCTATAGAGCATGAGCGTCAATACCAACTAAAAAGGCAACTCTAGCTTGACTTGCGACTGGAGTTTGGCTAACATTGCTCGACAATGTAATCATAATTTTCACATATACTTCAATACACTTATTATTATTATTATTATTATTATATTAACTTATTTTTTTATTATAAATAATATATTAATACATATTTTATATATACATGACGTTTGTCACGAAATGATTAAATTTGATCGACACTCTTTAGTCAACTTCCCCTCTCTCTCTCATACCATTCCCTCAAATCTCCATATAATCTCAATTTAGCAAAAAAATGATCAAATTATAAAAGTGAATGTGCTTGTTTGTCACCAGTCAATAAGCTATAGTTGTTTATAATAACAATATTATTACTACCATTATGTGATATACACAATACAATCATTCAATATACAGTATATATATATATATATATACTGTACTGTACTTTATTATGTGTTATGAGGTTTATTAAAGTCAAAAGAATATAGCAGTTATCGTATAATTTAGTTGTAGTTACAGTAATAGTGGTGATGCCTAATATTGCCCTGTGCTGGGCACCACCCCATTCAATGATAATTATGACAAATTCATTGATTTAGAATCTTAATATATTTATTATATATATATATAAAATAATATTAGATATAATTTTTTGTGCTATAATTTAATGTAGTATTGTTTGGATGGGAGAGAATATAATATTTAATAATATAGTTTAGCCTTTTGTATCATTTAATGTCATTTTGTTTGGCAATATGTACAGTATATTACAAACAGTGTTTTTTCACAGACATAATTCAATTGAATTGTCAATCGATTGCATTATACAACACAACTGGAGTTAAAACAAAATTACTATTATATTATAAATTTTATATTATATTATTTTGTTGTAAATAATTTGTGATTTAATAGAGAGTGTATGGGATATACAATAATATACGAGTGTTGGCTTTTAAATACTAATATTGTCTGACAATTGTCACAACAAACTAATTAATGATAACTAATTTATTAAATGGTTGATTACCCATCAAAATAGTGGTAAAACACACATTTATCTATCAGTGCTTTATAGTGCCTATTGAATCAAACACTAAAACTTATTGGTTGTCTTCTCTCATTTATGTCAAACATATTATTATTATTATATCAATAGATAATTAAACGGCTTTTATTATAGCAATTAGAAACAAGGGCTGAATATTATGAATAATAACAGAATAATAACTATAATAATAATAATGGCATAAAAATTGGTGTGCAATACAAGTGATGTCTCGATTGTTGTCATTCAGGTGTGATTCCCTGATCAGTATTGATGATAACACAAACAGCAAATTTTGACAAAACTGTTTGCTATCATTATATGAAAATGTTTGGCCAATAGATTTTGGCTTTTATTGTCCAATAAATCGTTATCTTTATTTTCTAATAAAACATAAACTAAAGTGAAACAAATAAATAATTGTGTGTAGGAAGTGACCGCACCGGGCGGTCGTCTCTCTCTATATCCACTCAATACCTAAATGCTCTATAGATCTGTAGCCACAAAATAAAGAGTCAATAAGTTTATTCATATTATATGTGAATATATTTCATATGAAAAGTGTATTTCACTTCACATAAACACATTACCAGTCATTATGATTGAGAAGGCATCGCATCCTCACAACTGTAACAATGATTGAGTGGGGCTGAGCCTCATCAGTGACTTACCAATTGCCTACCAGTGCTGTACCAATCGATTCACACACATAAACACACACTGGTGCTGGCATATACAGTAAAGTAAAAAGCATAACAAATATATTTAAATGATTAGTAATAGTAATAATAAAAAATTTTGGTTTGGATTTGGGATTCGCATCAATTTTCTTACTAATTAACTGTCATTTCAAAGGTATCACAAACAACAACTTAATAATTATCGCACACACTATAGCCATACCTTTCCCAATAAGCGCATATTGTTTCTATAGCTAATACTGTTAACTATCGCCCATTGCAATAGACTTTTCCCAAACACACAATTATCTTACTGTAACACAAAAGATGACTTCTTATAAGTTTTTATAAACTTTTGTTTTAATAAGTTTAGAAAAATAGGATATTATAAAAATAATGTATATATTTGTAGAACTATTTAAGTGATGCCAAACATAAATGCCAAACAGTGTTGAAAAGCTGACTGATATAAAAATATTTTTATAATCAAAGATTATTTTTTAAAGCAATATAATAAGATAGTACAGTACTAATCACATACAGTATACTAATAATATTGTTTTGAAATTTAATAGAGAATTAAAAAAGAAATTGAGATTCTTGTTAAAAGATCAATAACTTTAATACAGTAATCATAACAATAATATAAATATTAATAGGTATAAAAAAATTCTCACAAAATTACTGGAATTTCTCAATTTAATTACATTAAGTGTATTAAAAAGTTAAAAATAAAGTTGTTAAACATTTTTGTGTTTAAGTGAACATAATTTAATTTTAATTAAATATTTTATACTTATCTTTTTTATAATTATATGTAAATTTAATAAACATTTGCATATTTTTTACTGAAACCAAACACAGATTACAATTTCTTGAGAAATATTTATTTAAATTTTTAAAGATTACTGCACTTAAAAATTATGGTTTTCTCCACACAACTACAAATTGCTTATGAATTTTATTAATAAATTGATTATATATTTATAGTCTCCAAATTGTAATTTCTTAATGAATACAATTATAAAATTAAAATATTTTTCAATTAATCACGCCGTGAGTCTTTAATGTAAATTATTTTATTAAACATCTTTAATATTTGCATTTATATTTGGTATAGTTATTTGATTATAAAAATAAGTAAATTATCTGTAAATAAATTAATTATAAGTTTTAAATAATTATATATATCATACAAAAGTTTTGTTAATTTACATTGACATATTTTATTAATTTTATTATTGTGTAATATACTGTATAATATAATGTTTAATTATAATCCAGAAAATTAATAATAATTTTTGTTTTTAGAAATATGACTAAGATTTTTAAATTATAATTTTTAATACTAAACTAATTGTTATGAATAATATTATTACATGCAAAGTTTAAATCCATATAAATATTTTGATAAAGTAATTTTAATTTATACAGTATTTACAAAATGTTTGTTTTCAAAAATTAATTAATTATTTTATTATATATAATATAGTATACTATAATACTTAAACAATAAACTTATTTATCTTTTTTAGACAAAGATGTTATGTGTATATATATATACTAATCAAATATCAGTTATATTTCTGAATTTAAATTGTGATCACTTGGTTCACATCAAAGCACATGTATATCTATAACAGCAAACACTTAGAAAGTCTAAAGTTTTTAAAAAGTTATAATGCTTTATATTGTAGCTATTGATATGAACTCTAAAAACTCTTAATTTTTTATATTAGTTATATATCTAATTATACCTTATAGTTATTATAAACATTTGTAAATATTAATAAATAACATTTTTGTAATTCTAATAATATATAAATCTATATATATATATAAATTATATATGTAGTTTACTGTATTATATTTTACATATGTAAGTTATATATAACTTATATATTATGTTTAATATTACAGTATTATCATATATAATAGTTAAAGAGTTAGCATTTTTTAATTAATTAATTTTTTAGTAATAAAAGCACTTGCTTATAAATTACATTATTAAGTAAAATTTTATATTGAATATTTTATATTAAAATATATTAAATAAATACTGTAACATCAAAAAATAGCGACCATTCAAAAAATGATTTATATGTGTTTTTAAATGTTGTAATCAATTAAAAAATATTAGACAATGAGCTATTAAATAATTATACATTGAGGGCTTATATAATGTATAGTTAACACTACACAAGAAAATGATTAAAAATTATTTTTGAGATTTATATGTGGTATCATATGATATGTTTAAAGGGCTTAAAGTACACATAATATAAAAGAGGTCCGGTAGGTATCAATGATGGGTAGTGGTATCACTTCCTTAATTATTTGGCGTTACCATCTAAATGAGCTATTCATGAGTTTGTGTCTATAAGTATTAAATTAATTTATTTATAAATATTGAGGCAATGCTGTTGTTATCGGATCTAATTATCTAAGACAAGGGCCACAAAACCCCCCCCCCCCCCCCCCCCCCCCCCCCCCCCCCCCCCCCCCCCCCCCCCCCCCCCCCCCCCCCCCCCCCCCCCCCCCCCCCCCCCCCCCCCCCCCCCCCCCCTTTATAATCACTTATCACTGCTTTTTATTTTAAGAGCACAAGTGTTTTGTTGTGTAAAACAATTATTCGCTTGTTTTGCAACCGAATACGCGATTTTTTAAACATATAGTTAATAATAATAGAGTCTAACAGTTATTAAATATTAAATTAATTATTTTTTCAAGACATCAAATTTATACAGAAAAACATTTACCATAAAATAGATAAGCTATTGAGAGGTTGAGGTGCGGTCATATACACCACACATACACACACACGCATACTATAGCGACTGAGTGTGTTGTGTGTAAATGAGTGAGTAAGTGAGAGAGAGAGAGAGAGAGAGAGAGAGAGAGAGAGAGAGAGAGAGAGAGAGAGAGAGAGAGAGAGAGAGAGCTTGTGGTAATAGTGTTCAGTTTGTGCAGCCAAATCATCATTAATTGTAATAACGAGGATATATCAGYTCAAGGGATGTAATAGATTTTTGTGGTGAAAATATATTTAACACGAATTCACTTATTATTGTTACCATATATAATATATATCAAATAAAATATATAATACCTGTATATAAGCACCTCTTGTTGTTGTTTGTTATTATATATCGGCGAAAGTATGAGGTAATGGTTATTAAGTGAACCGCAAAAACATATTATCATTATATTAATATTAATATCATATTATTATTATTATTATTATTATTATTATTGAGATATAGTTTGCGGTATAAAAGACCATTCGCTCAGTGACTCTTAAAATATATTCATTTAAGTTGCTATCGGAGCACAAAAATTTCAATATTTTATAAGATTTTGTGGACAATGACCCGATAGTTAGTCATAGGTATCCATTTATGGGCACACATTTGCTTCAATTATATAAATTTATATCTATACTGAATTATATATATTATACAATAAATACATTTTCTTATTGTAACTTATGATAAGTGATCTGCAAATGAGGCGGAGGTGTTGGTGATTATGTAGTGTTTTTTTGTGTGTGTCGGGGGTGTGATTAAGGTTTATAAAAGCTTGCCTTCAATTGCTTTATGCGCTTTTAACAATCGATACCATTGTTTGGCCGCAAATACATATATATTTTGATAAAAATGATGAGCAAATGCTTTGTAATTTATTGTGCAAACTCTGATCCGACGATAACACTTGATATTGGATGTGTTGGACAGTGAGGATCACTCATTTGCCAATTCAAAAACATTAAAATATCATTACCATTGAACTACATATAAAGGTGTCTGGGCGCTAGAGCTAATGGTTCAAACTATACTATATAAGTAATGCCAATCTCTCAAAATTACTATTAAGTAATAATAGATACATGAAAATGAATAAAAACGTTTGTGCCGTTTGTTGTAATTATTAAACAGACATATATTTGTGGTCTAATCGTGACCTTACAATCTCTCACTTTGATTAGCTTTATATGTGAAATAAAAAGGCAACCAATGTTTAAGACACGATTTGTGGCTACAATTCAATCGTCAAAATTTCTACTATTAAGTTGTCTTTATATCTATCTTTTACATTATTTCCATTACTTCCATGTCTTATTTTTTATGCCAATAAATTTCCCATTTTTCAAATAACTGATATTTTATCTATATATTATTCATGTTTATAAGTTACACATATGTACAGTATATAGTTATAACTAAATTTATGTTTACTCATTAACTCTAACTATTATAATTTATAAATATGTTTGAAGTATGAATACCACCAAACAATTTACTACATATATGATCTGTATATAATGTATTGATATGTGTTGTAATACTAAATTTATGTTAAAACATAATATGTTTTTATTTGTATGTTTACTATGTTTACAATGTATTGGTTGGTCATTACATGGTTGACTCTCAGATTGTTAGGGTATCAATCATTGACTGACCAGAGCATCACCTGCTCGTGGCCTCAATTCACGCTTGAGGTGCGAAACAGCCGCCGGCTATTTCTATAGCCTTAGTTACCAGTGCTCCACTCATACCGTATATCTATATAATAAAAAACAATCCCATTTGAGGAGACAAAGACCACAAATTAACAATATGTTTGGCAACACTTGAAACACCCATTCAAGTGATAGATTGGCGCTCAATAAGATGGTCACACAGTTTTTAGGCACCAATTTATAGATTTAAATTAAATACAAATTAGAGACAAACACAACAAACTTGTTTCACACAACCAAATACTTACTACTGTTTCTCATCAAATAAAACTTTTTCTACTAATCTCTCAGTCGTTTACAATAATTCTATATATATATTGATAGTACAGTACATACTGTACTAAATTACAGTATTTGTTTGAGTCGACCACTACTTGTGTTTAACATTTTGTGTTATTTTTGTTGCAATTTGTATTTGGTTTTAACAAAAAAAAATTAGTGATAAATAGTTTTATGCAAAATTATCAGTTTTTTTGAGGGTTAGTCACTCGTTATATAGTTAATACACGTCCAAATTGAATTGATAACATTTTAGTAACTTTTATTTTGATTTAATTAAATTAAATACACTTTTTAAAAATATTTTAAGTGCATTATAGCAATTTCAATGCTCCAATATTAAAGTGTTATTTTCCAACAAAAATAACTAAATTTTGTTTAAACTTTTTTTGGAGTTTGGAAAACAGTCAGAAATATTTATAAGATAATTATAATATATATATTAAATAATCGCAAATCCATATCTTTTTTTATATAAATAAAAAACCTGTTGCAATTTTTATTTACAATACAGAAAATATTTATTTATTTGATTAATTGAAGCAAAATTATCTCTACAATACACAACTTCCAACAAATGAATAAATAAATAAATAAATAAAAGAGACAAAAATTTTCAATTAGATAAACAAAATTAGTTTACCTAATAAAAGGTTAAGTTTACAAACAAAATAATAATTTCTATTTAGTTTTCGTTGGTATTTACAAATGACTTGTAATGTGTTGCTGTATGTTGTTATTGGCAAAACAATTTCGGCATTGGTTTTAGAGGCAAATATAAGTTATATAATATATTATATAATATAACTAATCGTAATATCAATTCAAAGAATATGTCAAAAATAAATTGTCTAATAGTTTGGCGAATATATTTATAAACATGCATTTTTTTGATTGTGTATGTTAAATGCAAAATAATTATACAGTGAGGTATTAAATCCACTAACAATTTTATATAATGTAGTAATGTGAATAACATTTGATGAGAGAGTGAGTAAGTGAGTGAGTGAGTAAATAAGTTAAAGAGGAAAGAGAGAGAGAGAGAGAGAGAGAGAGAGAGAGAGATGATAACCAATTATTATTAGTCGGTGTTTTTAAAAGCATTAACGTTTGATTTGCTTTACATGTTATTTGGCTAATGTTAGATTCAATACACTAATTGATATATATGTTTACTGGATTGATACACACACACATATATATAAAACTCTAAAAACCTGTATGTATTGTTATATGCGGAGCTATTTTGTGTCAATATTTATCTCAATTTTGACGTTCACTTTTAGGTTTTTAAATATATTAATATTTTTGTATATACATTTTTTGATATTATATAGATTAATATTTCTAATACATTCAATAGTTTAATGGTTTGAGTTTAAGTTTTCTAGTTTATCAGTTTCAGCGTTAAAAAACTGCATTAAAGTTATGATGATTTTACATATCGATTGATCCAATGTATGTAAACGTCTACTCGAGTGTAAAGACCGGGTAGTTTAGGCAAAGCACAGCCTATTTGTTGTATTGATATAACAAACATAATATTTTAAAAATACATAAAAGACTATAAAATTTTGTTTTATCAAAAAAAAAAATTCATATATCATATGACATAAATTACTTACCAATACCGGCACTAACGATACCAATGAGATGATAGAGGTTTGTCTCGGCGTCTCTCACTAGTAGTGGACCCCCGGAATCGCCCTTAAGTTATAAGTTTTCAAAAGTCAAAACATTAAATAATAATAATCATAATATGTTTATAAAAATATATAAGCAATTATTAGGTGCACTAACACGACAGGAATCTCTGCCTCCATTGAAAAAACCGGCGCAAAATTGACGGCCACTTATGGTCAGTGGTTTGCCTTGAGATCTATACCATTGTTGACACTCTTTGTTTGATATAATGGCCAATTTTACCTTTTGCAAAATATTTCCCAAATTTTCCTCTAAAACAATAGTATAAAACAAATATATTGAGAGAGTCATGTGTGTGATATACAAACTATATTACGGTATATCCCTTTTCCTGACATATTCATAGGTAATGATAAATTAGATTTGTGTGACTCTTAGAAACAGTATGAAACTACTTTACTATTTTTATAGTACGATATATATATATAGTATGTGTGCACACAACTGGTCATACACTACCTTGATTGTTATCAAAGCTATCCTTAAGCCATCCCCATCCAACAACTGTTCCCATAACTTTGATGCCATCAATAGTCATAAAGTCGTATTTGTTTATAAGCGCTGACTGTAGATCTCCCTTATCTGGATCGTCAGCTTTAGGCAAACATACGGGTAGAATATAATTTGTAAAATTTACAGCAGTTTTTAATCTATATTAATAAATAATTATAATTATGATTATAATTCTATATTACAGATAAACTAACTTAATTAATGCGATATCATTATCATATGGTTGCGGACGCGAATAGTTTTCATGTATTACTATGGCATCAATGGGTATATCAATTGAATTGACCTCCAATTGAGTTTGTATTGAATGTGCGCCCAAACGGACAACAAACTGATCCCGTATGTGATCTTCAAGACAATGAGCCGCTGTTAAGATCCATTGATCAGAGATAATAATACCTCCGCAGTAATGGGTTGGGGGTTGCACTGCATTCATCAAAATTGAAACCTTTTCAATGCCATAATATAGAAAATTGATTAAACTTTTTGTAATTCATATTGTTTTATAAAATAAATTACAATTTTTGTATTTAATAGAATTTTATAAATATTTAAAAATAATAATGAAACTTATTTTTTGGTAAATAATTTGATAAAAAAGTATTATTTATAAATATTTGTCACTTAGTATTTTGATACTAATACAAACATATTAATAAAATTGTTATCATTAATTTAATTTAATGTCAAAATTAATCACATCTCTCTCTCTCTCTCTCTCTCTCTCTCTCTCTCTCTCTCTCTCTCTCTCTCTCTCTCTCTCTCTCTCTCTCTCTCTCTCTCTCTCTCTCTCTCTCTCTCTCTCTCTCTCTCTCTCTCTCTCTCTCTCTCTCTCTCTCTCTCTCTCTCTCTCTCTCTCTCTCTCTCTCTCTCTCTCTCTCTCTCTCTCTCTCTCTATTTCTGTATTTTGTTAAATAAAATAAAATTAAAAATATTTTTGTTAGTCATTAGTTATGACCATACAGTATGAGCACTCGATTTTGTGTTTAGATTTTTAACTAAAAAAATAAGATTAGTCTTAAAGTCACGGAATTACTGTAAGTCTATAATAAAAAAATTAATTTAATATTACTGTATATAAAAATAATAATTTATATAAATAAAAAAATTTGTATCGTTTTATAAAATCACATAAATTTATGTAATATTAATTGCTTTTAATTGTAAAAGTTGATTGCCCTTAATATGCGAATCTTCAATAAACAACATTTATTTTAATTACTTTATTAACAACTCGACTCTTAAACTATAATATATAATATAATTTATAAGACATAATAAAGTACTGTATTTCTAATTATATTAACATAACATATCAAACTCATTCACATACATACATACATACATTAATACAATTTAAGTTTTAACTTAAATTAATAGTTTTTAAAAATTTATCAGTAGTTAAATTTTTGAGATTACATATGAAATAAGAAAAAATTGTGTTTAAATAAACAAAAACATAAACATTTTAATTATTTTAAATGAAAAAAATTATATAAATAAAATAAATATTAATTTTTTATAAGTAATAATTTTAAATATGAAATGTATAGCACATACCATCCACGGGAACTGCCCGTAATAGGCATCCTCTCCGCCAACAATTCTCGGACTTCTTATCTCTGGTCGACCACATGTATAGGTTTTGTTTACTACAAATAAAAAAATAGTTATAAATTTTTAGTAAATAAGATGAAACAAATAAGTAATAAAATTTAATTTAATTAAATTAAATATAAGTCAATTAACATTTTGTAAAATAAACTTTTTTTGTTTCGTTTTGTTTAACATACATTTATAACAATTGCTTTGCTGAGCATTTTTTATAACTAATAAAATGATAATTATTAGTAAATAAATGTTTTGTATGTTTATTGCCATTATGTTGTGCGATCATAAAAGTCACATATCATAGTGTGGTATTGTCTGTATATGTTTATGTGCCAAAAGTACCCCCAGAAGCGCGAATCTAACGTAACACCACTTTCTACTCTTCAAATAACTATATGATAGACCACCAAAACGTGACCTACAGATATGGCACCCATAGAATAGGCAATATTAATAGTATTATTGTTTTGTAAAATCCATATACAATATAAATTATAGTTTATGTCCTTTAAATAAGAAATTGCTATTTTAGAGACCATTTATCCTAATTTACTGTAAATCGCATTCAAATAGGTTGTATAGCATACACAATGTAAATTTATACAGTATTTGTGTTGACCTCAAATCACATTTACATTTAATAGGTTAAAAAGTTTTTAATAGTATACTATGGATATGATATATCATATTTGTTTTTATTAAGCAAACAAATAGTAAATTAATAATTATAAGCGTTATTTTAAAAACAAGTAGAAATTATGTTATTCAGTAGATTGCAGATTGCAATCCGTTTAATAGTATACTTAGAAAATAATATAAATATTTTATTAATAACTTATAACAAATGTCTTTCGTTATCTAAAAGCAATACAAATGAAATATATTTGTTCATTAATTTTACAACTCATTAACTCATTAAATGTAATCTAATATTTTACAGCATATAATGTATAAATTATATATATATGAAACAAGAAATTGATTGAAAGTTGTTTTTATAAAGTTTGTCTTATATTACTCAAACAGTATACAATTTTTTTTAATAAAATACAACACTTATATATAAGATTTTTCGTAAATTCATTAAATTGAAATTAACGTCAAGAATAAAGTTATTTAGATTTTAATCTCAGCCTTTAATTAATCGCTTCAATTAATTTGCAAGTTTAGACACTCGCGAGTGTGTCTTATATTTATATAACTATTAAAAATAAGAAAATAATAATAAAATAATAAAATAAAATTTTATAAAATGTTTTGATAAAAATTTATTATATATTTTATATGATCTGTTCTTCTAAATATATTATTTTTAAACATGAATTATTCATTAGATACGATAAATATGATTAAAAATTAGCGGTTATTAAATTTGATTAAACACTTTATTGTAATTAAACATTAGCTAACATTACATTAACTTTATTATAGACTGTATTACCACTAACTAACTAACAATGCAACTAAAATTAATATTAATTTTGTTGTTTATTATTTAATATATCATAATTTGTATATTAATGTAAATTTACAATATAATCTTTTTAATTATCATAATGTTTATATGAAATAATGTATTAAAAGAACTTCTATATATAATAGTTTAATATCCGTTAAATCTGTTTAAATATTTATAAAATATAATCTATTTTAAAAACATTTTATTATTTAAATTACCGGTAAATAAAAACAAATATAACAATTAAAATAATGAATTTTATATTTTTTAATGATTATTTTAGTAATCAGGTCAGATCTTTTTAAATATTACAAATTGATTGATAATATAAACATTTAGATGTTTATAAACTGGATAACTACTAACGCAATTATTATTTATTAAAGCAATAAAATTTAATTTTTTCAATAGTAATGTTTAGTTAAATGATTAAAATTTTGAATCTATGTACAGTACAATAAAAATAATTTAATTTTTATATGATATATTTATTAAATGTGTTTATAATTTATGTTATATTCAATACTATATATTATTTTATTAATCTCTAATAAAAAGCGATATAAATGATCTGTTATTGACATATCAGTGACCTTTCCTATCGACCACTGATATCTAAATACTGTAGAGAAGGGCCTAAAACAAGAAATACATTCAATATCTCGATTGACATCTAAAATGATTTTATAATAATAGCAATTTTAGTGATATAACATAATTATAATCTAACAAATCGTCATTTGGCCTATAATTTTCTAAATAATTAGAGAGAAAATCAATTGAAAATTACTCATAGATTTTGATTATCTTAATCTTTTCGATAATACACTGTATAATGTATAATATATAGTAATATAATATAATGTAATGTATGTATAAATGATTTTTCTCACACAAAAACAAGAATTTAATGAATCAATTGCCACATATTTATTACATTGTATAATACAGTATAACATTAATGTCTTTCTCAGATAAATAATTTGATTGCATATATTTTTGATAAACTTATCATATCTATCCTAACAATATAAATAATACATGTATAATGTATATTATATAAGTGAGAGATCGGTGGCTAATATATATATATATTATTGCACTCATAGTAATAGCAAACACAGGAAACACATCAGGGGATCCTTTAAAATACATATAAATTTATTAATGATTTTACTATACCTGTAATATCACTTTATAAATTATATTTTTACAATATTTGTCATAATTTTTGTTTATTGTCCCGGTTATAAATTAAACATATAAAATAAATGGATTTTTAAATATGTAATTTGAATTAAAAAGCAATCAATAAATATGAAAAAGTTTTTACTTATACAGTATGTGTAACTTATAAGTTAGTAAAAACATATAATTATATTATTTGGTTCACAACAGATATCAATGTTTCTAATTGAATAATCAAACATCAATAATTTAATATCATACTATATATACAGTATTGAATATATATATATATATATATATCGAAAAATAAAATCAAATTCAATGATAATCATGTGAATCAAATCAAATAATTGCTTAGATTTTTATAACTAATTTCTTGCTTTGATTTTATAAAACACACGATTTTTAATGCAATTATACTCTTTGAAGAACTTATTACAAATGACTTAATATGATTAGAGAATTCATTAATATATATATATATTTAATTTAAATGAAAAAATTTTTCACGTATTGACTTAATTGGACTAATATTACTGTATAATAAATAAATGATTAAATACCACCAATGATGCGAATTATTTTATCTAATTGTCAACTAATTGAGACAATTATATTATTTATCAATTATCTAATACTATTTAGAAAAGTATTGAAATTAAATATATATATAATTTTTATAAAATAACTTGAATAGTAAAAATCTGTTACTCAATTTTATTTTACATTTTTTTCATTCAATACTTTATACACTAAATTAATAACTTTTTACTTAAATTTATGGGAAATACTTTACGATTAATGTATGATAATTAATTACATTATCTATTATAATTTTATACAAAAAAAAACAAATTAAAATAATTTATCGTTTTATTTTTTAAATATATAATATATATGTATTCCCAGTTAAATATGCACTTTATTAGCAATAAATTATATTTAACAAAATATAAAAATAATAATATTATTATTATTGAAATGAAATCAATATTTATGTAGAGTTAGTAAACATTAAAATATTACGCAAATTTATATATTATAATAAATTTTTAAAAGAAAATAAATTTTTATTTTGTTATAAAATATAAATTTAAAACAAATCATATTTTTCTAATAATCTTCAAAATGTTTGGCAATCTATTAAAACTTTATTTTTTAATATTTAATCAATTGACTTATAATATACATTTTATTTAATTTTGAATTGGCATATAATTTACACAATTTTATATATATCATAATTAAGCAAGGTTTTCGTTTCTATGAGAAGTATAGAGTTACGTATAATTTATTTTTGTATTTTTAATCAATTTTTTAAAAAAGTTTCCAAGTTGAGGGAAAATAAAGTAAATTTCCGTATAAATTACAAAATATTTACCTAAATTAATATTTATTTTTTGGTGTATTTTGTATTTTTAAAATTTGAATTAGGTGTAACGTTTGATATATAAAATATTAAAATAATTAATAAATTATAATTACAATAAATATAAATTTCAAAAATACTTTTCTATGTTTAAGTCATTTTGAGAGATATTTTTTAAAAATCTAAACAAAGAGACAAATTGAGAGTTATATAGCAAATGATATATCAATTACAGTAATATATAAACTATTTTTATTAAATAATTAATTTACAAATTAATCAATAAATGTAATCAAATGTCAAATTTGAAAATACAATCACATTTGACTTAATTGTTTGTTGTGTTGACTATCGGCTAAAGTAGTCCTCAATTGTTGTAAATATTGAAAACACTTTTGAATTAATGGTTTCACGGACTGTAACTCGGCTTTAGTCGCGTTGTTGAGCGTCACATCACCGATGAACAGCTGCTCCTTATGTTTGGCCACTCGGAACAACTGATGAGCGGAAAGACGAAGAATAGCTTCGCGGCGTTCAATAAGTTCCGAACAGTTGACCGACGATTGAAACTCTTGCTCCAAAAGTTTTAGCAGTTCTCGCCACTGATCGTCTGGCATCGGGACTAGACGTTCGCTGTCCGCCTCTTGTTGTTCCTGTAGTTGCGGCAACTCTTGTATCCAATCGGGTACACAAATGGTACACTTGTTTTGACGCTGAAGATTGAAGGCCAACCAAACGGGAACTTTGATGGGAATCGACGGTCGAAATGGACCAAAATCACCACTAATTAGATTCAACTGTTTGTTGTATTTAAATAGTGGTATAATTTCGATGAGTTCATCTTCGGCTAAGAACTCGCACCAATCCATCGCTGAATTCAATGGGATTATCACTGGATTTGATTGATGACCACAAAGACTGACAATACAGACAACTGTTTCAATGTTTGGCGCTTTGATAGCAAACAATAAATAACGTCAAAAATAGTTAACAAAACTGTAATTATTTTCTATTGATTTTTCACATAAATTAGTTAACATTTTCTATTAACGAACACTTAATTGAATTATTAATAAATATTAAAACATTATTTACAAACAAAACATACATTTTTGATGTTTTGTTTCGACAATAGATTGACAATCAGTTCAACAGTTATTGCGGTAAAAGTGGTCACAAATAATGGCCACAATAACAACAACAACAACTGACATCCAAAGCAATGGTTTTCAATCATCTGAGACGAAGATTTTGTGGTTTGAATTTTTATTGCAACCGAAACTTTTGGACACACAATTGGTTTCCGCAGACAAGTCCAGTCAACATCTGTTTGAATTGATATCACAACTGTTGACCAATGCGTTGACCATTTCAACCACTTCACTGTCGTCATTGACGACCACGAATACCAATGGATCCAATGATGAGACAACTTCAGCGGTTAGTTCATCACAACAGCAAACGGTAGACTCGATCAAGAAAGCGATGGATTGCAAGAAGAGTACAGCCATCCGGCACTTGTCGTTCAAAATTATGGCACATTTGAAGTGGGATTTGAATTTATTGGAGACTAATCTCCCGCCGACACAACAAGATTTTTTGTTGAGCGAACTGATCCGCTATTGTGACCAAAACAACAGTCCCACCGGTTGTAAACTATTTGCTTGTATTCTCTACTATCGATGGATTTTGCGATATATTATTAAATCTAATTATCCGTTAAAACCATTGAAAGGTCCGACAATTCCTTTAACACTTCAGCAACAAATAGATCCTTGTTTTGTGTCTAATGAGGCACTGGATCTGCTTATGAAGAAACTAATGGATGAATATTTGATTGCAGTAACAGATTTGGAAAAAGTGGTTTACGAACAGCAAAAGTCAAGTAAAGTTGAGATATTAATGCCAACAAATGATTGCTTTGCTTTCACTTCTGGTAATGAAATTGTTTGTCACTGGAATCGTTGTCTTAAAGTACATACAATTGATATAATCGATGATATTCTCTATGATATCGGTCGTTGGTTTTTCTTTCGCGAAGATTACTATAAAGCTAATCGTTATTTTGAATTAATTTCGATGAATAAAAGGGAATCAATGAAACATTTAAATGATTTATTGACATCGACTCGGGATCTGGTTGTAGAGTTAGCCCATAAGGATCAAGACATTGAAGTTATTGATTTCTACAAACAGTCAATCGATTCATTAGAAGATTTATTGAATGGTAGAACTTTTGATTTAAGTTTCTTCGAGAGTTTGGATTCGCCTGAAATCATTAGAATTTTAGAGAATGCTTTCAAACATAATTCAAATACAAAACATAGGAATAAACTGATTAGACTAACGAAATACTTGGCAAATAAAATCAAGAATTTAGATCCAGAAGTGAATAAATTATTATTATTTATGAAAAATGACGAAAAACCAATGGAAGTGGTAATTGATTCCGATAATGAATCAGATATGTATGAAGAGGGAGAGATTGATGGCGACGCTGACGATGATATTATCAGTAAAGAACCGGAACTTGTTTTACTGGAAGCTACAGATCCAGAGACGATACAAGACTTGGTTTCAAAGATCAAAAAGCATCCGCTTATGATTAACAACAAATGGATTTTACCATTGAATCAAAGTAAACATCTTCACAATATGTCTCAGACTCAATACGACAAATGCCATTTAATTCTTGCAAAAGCAAATCAACTGAGAAATGCTGAGCTTTTTGTTGAGTCAAGAATTTTATATTTATCATTATTCGAGGACATCCAGGCATCACTTCCACAGTTAGCTGATGTCATTAAATGGGAGATATTTAGGACAGATATGGAATACCATTTTCATACCACTGATGTTGATGAACGGCATATCAATGATTTGAGAGTTAAAGCAATTAATACATTGAGAACTATTGACAATTTGAATCTAATGAAGGATTGGTCTGAATTGACAGAACTCTGTTGTCTATTTCTTTTGGAATCGTTTCCACAAACTCTAAAAGACTTTAATGTTTCATCGGTTCCATTAATCAAGTTTTCATCGGCTATTAGTTGGTTAGCGTTTGATACGTCTGCCAATGGAAACACTGTTGTCAGAGCTAAGGATTTTTGGGATATGATTACAAATATGTTTGTCGACAACAATAGCAACAAATTGTCAACTCTTTTATTTTCAAATTCTTTTACCAGTTTTGTGTCTCAATTCAAGGATACAACAGTAATAACTCTTATAATATCATGTTTTTCAAAACTACTTAATCTGATTCGTGACAATTCAGCTCAAGAACTGACAATTCCATTGCAATTCAACACTTTATGGCCGACATCTTTAGTCCAATCGTTTATCCAAAGTATCGACACAAACGCAGTCCAATTGACTTTAAATAAACTTTTGGATCAATTTTTATGTCAAAAACCAAATGAAGTATATTTACTGAAATGTAGGGCAGAGTTGTGTCTAATGGACGGACAGTTTGCCGATGCAATCAAATACTTTTTATTAATATTGACGATTAAAACCAAATACTTCACGTGTTTTAGTTATTCATACACTGAAGAAGAGCCGATTATTCAGCGTATGATTCAGTGCTGCGTTAAGATGTGTTGTCACACTCAGGCAGCACTTCTTCATCAGCTGACCCGCGAACCCAACTATGGTTTGGCATTCAAAGCTCTGTCTGAGCGCGTGTGCAACGACTCGTGCGATGACTTATATGAGTGTATTTGGGACACGACTTTGTTAGAGTTTCTCATTAATTTACATTCAAGAAGAGGTGAAAATGAAAGGAAAACAAAAGCAATTCAATTGATGGGTCAGTTAGAGCTTAACGCCAACAACAGTGATGTTGTACTCCAAGAGGCCGCACATATCAGGAGAAGCAAATTGTTAAGGATTTTGTTGCGAACTTACGTTTAAATCAATGCTTTTTTTTATTTAAAAATAAATTATTAAAACATAAATTGAGTTTAATCTATATTTACTGTATTTATTCAATTATATCTATACCGGTAAATGTATTTTAAATGTATTAATAATTTTATGTATCACTAAAACTAATTACTTTCTTAAACTAAAAAAATTTGAAAAAAGTTGACATAACCTGACATAACCTGACATAACCTGACTTAACCTGACCTATAATAATGTCTACTCTTTGATCACAATTTCATTTTATCAATATATCAATAATTTGTCAGTTGTTTTAAAATAAGAAACACTTTGGATTAAAATTAATAGATTACTGATAATTAAAATTCAATATTAATTTAATTGATAATATGATTGAAAGGGCATCTATTGATAGTAATATCAATAGTTTTATCGCCAATTGATATATTGTTATGTAATGTTTGACAGATATGGCTATTACTGGTTGTACTGTAAAAGTCTATCATATGTTTACATTGTCTGTGATTGGTATCTGAAAGCAATAGTTCTAATGGTATATACACTACAATATACTATTAATACTGTATAGTGTGTGTGAGTGAGTGAGCAATGAATCGATTATATAATACATAACAACATATACCGTAAGTGTTGTTAATATTGTTATGCGTTTAGTGTTTGTAAGCGTTGACCCAATTCCTCGACAACACAAACACTGCACTACTTATAGCTATAGCTGTCAGTCAACTACTGAACACTCAATTAATTATTGCTTTAATTTTGTTTGAGTTTTACATTTCATTTAAACATTGCATTCAAAAGTGTTGTGTTTTTTCAGTGCTTTTTTAATCATTGCTTTTAAGATCATTTGATTTGATTTTATGGTTTGTTTTTTGCCATTAATTTCAATTTAGTTTTTCATTTCAATGATTATTATTGTTGACGTCTATTGAAGCGATGAAACGGGTGGTCATCTTCCGCAACGGCACCGCACACGACGGCAAAGTAAGCGATGGACATATCCATCGACTCATCCATCCATTGATTGTTGTTTTCTTATTGATAGGTCTTTCTGGTGACCAATTCGTTGGATGAGTTGTTGGTTTCGGCGTCGGATAAGTTTGGAGTTCAATATAAACGCTTCTTTACCAAAGAGGGCGGAGAGATTGATGACATTAAACTCATCAAAGACGACGATATACTATATGTATCGGACGACCAGGACTTCGTCAAACCGACGGACTCTGAGGCCAACAAAGAAAATAAAAAGTAATTTAATCGACATTTAGTTGATAACAATCACCGGTTTTTTTGTTTATGTCTCAAAAACATAATTAAATAAATGTTTTGTTTTGTCCAGAAGTGTGTTAAACGCCAACCCAATGAATGAATGGATTTTGTTGAATATCGGCGGAAAGATATTTTCGACGACCAGAAGTACATTAGTAGCTAAAGAGCCGAACTCGATGTTGGCCCGAATGTTTGCCATCGAAAATGAAAACTTAATGATATTTCCGTCACCAAAGGACAAGAGCGGCGCTTTTCTTATAGATCGAAGTCCTGAATATTTTGAACCAATTCTCGGTTATCTAAGACACGGTCAGCTCATTGTCGACCGCAATGTTAACCCTCAGGGAGTTCTGGAAGAGGCCAAGTTTTATGGCATAACATCATTGATACCGGAATTGGAGTCTATGATCATTGATGAGATACCAGACTCGACGGCTGCACCACTTACTAGACGTGATGTCATCAATGCAATTGTCAAAACGGCCACATCATCTGAGTTGCGCTTCCAGGGCGTCAATTTGGCCGGTGCTGACCTATCACGTCTTGATTTAAGTTATATTAATTTCAAATATGCTAATCTCAAAGGCGCCCGACTCCAAGTATGGCTATTAAATTTATATTGTAATTATCGGTTAATGATTTCAATTTACCTTAAATAGGGGGCAAATTTAAGTTATTGTTGTCTGGAAAGGGCTGACCTCTCATCCAGTAATATAGAAGGGGCCACTCTTTTCGGTTGCAAAATGGTTTGCGCTAATCTTGAAAATTGCAACCTTAGGGGTAAGTGTTTGGCCAATCATTTAAAAGATTTCATGGAAACCAAATGGATTAGTTTGATAATTGATACAATAATTTAGGTACAAATATGGAGGAACCGCACGGAAATAGGACTAATATGGAGGGCGTCAATCTTAAAGGCGCTAATTTAGAGGGCAGTCAAATGGCTGGTGTGAATCTTAGGTAATGACAATTTTATTGGTAACATATTAGTTGATTATCATATTTTTAATTTTAATTAATTGTTGTTAAAGGGTTGCGACTCTTAAAAATGCTAATTTGCAAAACTGTGATCTAAGAGGGGCTGTTTTAGCCGGCGCTGATTTAGGTATGTCCATGGTTATTTTACTAAATGATAATTTTTTACTAATTTCTATTGTGTTTATATTTTTCTATAGAAAACTGTGATCTTTCGGGCTCTGATCTACACGAAGCCAATCTGAGAGGGGCTAACTTGAAGGGGGCCGCCTTTGAGCTAATGTTGACTCCATTGCACATGTCTTATGTGGCCAATTGATATGCGGGTAATCTTAGTATTAGTTATAGTAATTAAAATAATGTGAAACCAAGACACACACAATCCTACAAACCACCCAACAATAACAACAACACATTCACACATACAGACAGATATTATATGAAATATACAAAAATATAATAGTTTTGAATTTAACGATTTAATTGAATGCAATTTATGTTTAAAACAATATTCAGAGCAACGCCTCTTTTGCTCTCACTTTCTCTGTGTTTATGCTTTTCTATGCACTTATAACCCCTTAAATATGTGACAAAATATATTCAATTTTGGCATTGAATTAACTTATCAGTTGATATTCATATCTATTATAATAATTATTATCATTAGTATATCTTTATTATAAAAACGATAATTCAATTACTCATGTATTTGATATTTGTTTACTATTTAATACATATAAGTTGATCCAAAAAAAACATATTTATTGTCACATTTCTATGAAATTATTGGATAAAGTGATTTGTTTGGAGAAATGAAATGTTAATGTGATTGAAATAATAGTAAAATTCAATCGATTTACAAATAAAATCAAAATATTTTTTCAGTCAATTGAGTTCCTAAACATTTTGATATAGAAGTCAAAATTTTTTATATATAATTTAATTTATAAAATCTAATTTATTATCTAATATTTATCTTAAGTTATATTTAATAAATTAAATTTAAAATTCATTTTATTAGATGACATTTATTATGACTGAAATAAAAAAAATAGAATTAAAGTTAATTAATAATTATTTAATATAAGCACAATATTTATTGTTGAAAACCCGAAATGTTATAATAAAAAATTAAGTTATAATAATTAATTAGGCAAATAACTGATAACATTATTTTTTATTAGTTAAAAATAATTAAATGAAGACATAAAGTGATGATGAATTTAAACCAATTTCTAAACGCAACAGTTTTTGCCCTAAATTTTATTTCTCAAAAAATAAAATTTCAATTTTTTAAAAATAAAAATATATTGAGATTTACTATCGATTGAATTGAGATTTAAGTTAGTTTTTGGTGATTGAAACGAACTGTGAATTGAAAAAATCAGTGATTGTATTGAATTGTATGAAAAAATTAAAATAATTGTAAGTAAATATGATTATAAATGTAATGGATTTTTGGATATTTTTTTAAACACATTTATATCTTATGGATATAATAATAATTATTATAATATGAACTTATATTAGAATATTACCCCAATTGATGTATACCTAGAAATGAATTAAATATATTCATAATTAATTTAAAATTATTTTTATTGAAAACCGTTATATATATAAATTATTTTTACTTTCACACATTTTACTTATTTATTTTATAATCAGAAATACATATTAGAAACAATAACTATTTAATTAATTTTTTACTCCACAATTGTAGTGAAAACCAAACCAAAAGTTTCTATTAGATATATATAACATTTTATTAATTGAGATACACTAACATTTTATGACATAATTTAATTATAAAAATAACTATATAATTTATAATTAGTGATATATTAAATATAGTGTAATTTATACGTATATTAAAACAATTTATACGTTCAAAATAAACATAGTTACGTATTGATTGTTATAGAAAATTGTAATACAACTAAAAACAGCACATAAATCAATATATCATTGTATGAGTAAACCTAAAAAATTAAACACAAAAATCAATTTAATTATATAAATGCCGGTATTATATAACATATATTGTGAACTCTTTGTATGAGAGATACACAATGAAAATAATAGTGCAATTCATTAAAACCTTTGTAAAAAAGCTTTCTATTGATTAAAAAGCATTTTATAATAAATGTTTTTAAATTATTTATATATAATATATATTATTGTTTTAATTTTTAAATTGTTTTAATAATTCGTAACTATTATTGGAAATTTCCAAAAATTTAGTTACTATTTAAAATATTTGATACTTTAGTTTATTTTAAAGTAATTTTATATATTGTACTTTTATATAATTTCTATGAATGAGTTACTTACAGATTCAAAATTGAATTCATATACCAGAAAAAATTATATTAATAAACAATAAAAAAAATAATTTTCATGCAAATAAAAGGGAGTGTCGACAGGTGTTAAATCATTGGTCACTTATTACTGTAAAAGGATTTTTGGTTAATAAAAAAAAGACATCATTTCTCGTCAATCGTTTGATTATTAATTTGATAATAAAATTACCGGTATATTGAAAGTCAAGGATTTTCAATGCAAAACATATTATGTATTATACTGTATATATCTTTTGCCATACATTGTATAGTATATAAAATAGTGTATTAATACTGTACTGTATATTTATAACTTATAAACGTTTTGTCAGTAACTTTATAAATGCCTCCGGACTTATGTTTCATATCTATGAACACATCAGCTATTAGGGCAATACTTTGTATGTAATTATCATAATAATAAAATATAAAAACTTACCAGTAATTTAACATTAAATATGACAAATAAATATTTTATTATTATCATTATTAGTAATACTAAAGCATTTTATTATATGACTTCTAGAATAAATTTATTTAATATCTTGTAAAAAACAGCAAGATCAATTACCGTAAGTTAAATCTAAAATATGTTTACCGGTATAAGTTATTTATATAATATATAAATTTTATATACGGTTATATATATTAATATTTGTTCATAATAATAATAATTAATAATAATAATAATCAATTAGCTGTCACTGTTGTTTGCAATAGCCCTGTGCGTCAATATTTGGTTGACAGCATCGGCCAAATTGTTAACAATGGCGTCTGGTTTAACTGTTGTGTGATTTTCATCGCTTGGCCTGTATTTGCCTGTTCTGACCAAAAGTCCTCTCATATCTTTAATAACAATAATTATTATAAACAAAATATCAAATAAACTTTAAATTATTTTATACCCATTTGCTGTGCGCCTCCAACATCACTATTGATGTCGTCACCAATCATAACTACATCCTCGGGCTTGAGATTCATAGAGTCGATAGCAGTCATGTAGTACTCTTTGGCTGGTTTTCCCATAATAACAGCTTTATTATCGGTCGCGTATTCCAGTGCTGCAGTATAGGCGCCCAAATCCAGAACCAATTCATTGCCCTCTTTATAGTATTTACTGAATCGTAAAAATTAATTAACACCTTTTGAATACAACTAAACGATGTGATAATAGATGATCTCTTTAGATACCCCTTTCCCATTGAGATCAATAGTGGATCTTTCATTGATAACAGCAATTGAAAGGCTTTGTTGACCGCATCATAAGTGAAATGTTGTGCCGCATCGCCAACGACCACACAATTGGCATTACTTTGGTCAATGTCCGCAAATTCGGGCATTAATTCTGTTATTATAAAATAATTGATTGTAAATTCAATGAAATATTATTACCAATTAAACATTGACATACCCGGGTAGATTAATAAATAAGGTCTTAAGTTTTGTTTGATAAGCATATGTCGTACGGCTGGTGCCGGTGCTATCACTTCCGATTTGTCCAACTCATAGCCAAAACGTCTTAATTTGGAGACTAATGAATCGGTGGTTCTCTGCGTTTCATTCGTACAAAAACGGAAAGGTATGCCATTTTGCCGGAGTCTATATGTATGTCAATCAATCAAATAAACAAATTTAATTAGTATATGCTATAAATAAAATGCATATTTCTATTCAATTTAAACAAAGTAATGTCAATACATATATTGATAATAAATACTATAAAAATTAATGATATAATTAATTTAAGATAAATTTGTTATATAAATAACAATCATATTCCTATAAAACAATTGTATGAAAAAATAATTTAACTACATATGTATTATCATTTTAGACAAAAATTTTTTTTATTGGAACTAATCAAATATGAAATGACATTTGAAAAGTTCAAAATAATTATATAATATTAAATAATCAAATTTATTTTCAGTAATTTTTAAATAAAGTAAGCTAAAATAAAAATTTGTGTCAAAAAATTATTATTTCAGTAAATTTTGTACAAAAAATATTTAATATAAAATTTATATAAATTTAAATGCAAAATTTGCAGCAAAACTATTATATATATTTTTTTGATTATTACTATAATTATGATGTGTTAATATGTATAATGTATTATATCACTATTATATCACAATTTAATTAATTAATTAATACCGCGATATTAACTTTGTATTAAAACGACTTTTTATATAAAATATCTTATTTAATGTTAATTATCATAATCAATGTCAACTATATAACTATAAACGTAAAAATCTAATTAAATGATAATAATTTTTAATTCAAAATAAATCTAATGTAATATAAAATGTTATGAATACTTATACAGTATTATAGAGTTAAGCGCTATAATTAAATACATACCGTTTGATAGCATCAACACTTCCAGCTATAGCTGTATCACAACCACTATAAATACAAATATTTTCTAAATATTATTTTTTATATTAAAAAATAATTTTAATTTTTTAAGTTTCTATATATATATATATCCTATTAAGTATTAATTACTTATTTACAATATTAATATCTACGAAATAATACTAAAAATTTATTTTTCAAATGTTTAAATACCTTTCATATAAAACTCCGGTTATATCTAATAATAAGCCTTTGATTTGTTTTTCTAACCATTTTTTACTCATAATTTTCAAATACAAAATAATTTAATTTCTAATCAAAATTAGTTTTTAAAAATATTTATAATTAATACACAAATAAATTATATTATTTTAAACTTTATAATTATTAACTTATAACAACTTTTGCCAATCAATTTTTCGCTATTTTTCAATTATTTTAAATACCGGAATTTAAATTAAAATATAATATAATAAATGCAAATAAATAATAATAGATATTAAAATAATTTTAAAAATTAATTGTAATTATAAAACCAGTTTATTATTATTATTATTATTTTTGTGGTTAAACAATCTCATAATATTCAGCAATAAATAAAATATTTGGTTTAAAAATCCAAACACACACACCATATGATAGTAAAATTGATAATAAACTATATTTAAAATATCAATTAATTAGTGTTTTAAATGATTAAATGAATGATTGATTGAATGACTGCATTGAATTCAATGTAAACATCGGATTATAAGCGCATGTGTTATACAATAATACATATCATATGATAATAACATTGAAAATATTATTTGTGTGGGAAATACAAGTTTCACTTAAATCTACAGACTCTGTAAATTTATTGTTAGTTTTATAATACATTTTTTTAAAACTTGTATATTTAGTAAAATAGATATCAATATAGATTAGTTATATATAGCCTATTGAAATTGTTTTTATTGTAAAGTTGTATTAAAAAACTTAATTTATTTTCAATTTAATTTAAATTTAAATAAACCAACTTTAGAAATTGTATAATTTATAATATATTTTATATTGTGCAGTATATACTCTATTTATAGTTATTTTCAATAATTTTAATTAATTTTTTATAAGAAAATTTATTATTGTCAATTAATAGTAAAATGGTTCAATTTAAATTAGTTATATACAGTAGTTTTATTTATATTAAATATATATATATATAATTAGATAATTTATTATACCTTTAATTAATCATAGTTAACACAATATTATTAAAAGTCTACACTCATTAAGCTATTTTATATAAGTATGACTAAATGTTTTATTATCTTATTTTATTTTATAATAATACAGTATTCAAATTAATGACTTTATTGTTTGAATAATAAATTTTATGCACATAAAAAATTATTTATATCATCAATTATATAAGTTCTCGATAAATCTAATGCAATCTAATATACAGGTACATTATATATTATGTATATTAAATATATTGTATGAAATTATAAATAATAAAATAATACTCAAAAAATATTTTTAGCAATACATAAATATCACTAATATAGAGATATGTATTTTAATTTATTATCAACTATTAAATTGCATAATAACTTTCAATTAAGTTGAAAAAAGAAGTGAAAACACAAAAAAATTATTATAATTTACTGTATATTAGTTCAAACAATTAATTAATTCATACTTTTTTATTTAATATATAGCACAGTATTTCATCCGTGATTTTTTGGAGAATTTATTTATTGTATTTATTAATTCATTTAGAAAACACTTATTTTCCGTAATATTTTAATTATAAATATAATCACAAATAATTTTGTTAAAAATAAAAAATAGTATTTAGTTAGCATAACGTGAAACTTAATTTAAGTTTAAATTATCAAATTATGTTCATTTACAATATAGTAATGTATAACTGATTTTAGATAAATACTAACTTTTTTAACATAACATAATTTTTTTTTAAATACAAGCAAACATCTTATCAAAAATTGTTTTTTATAATTAACTAATTTTATTCCAGATAGTAATATTTCTAAAGTTTTTTATTTCAATTTTAAGGTACCGTCAATTGATGCCAAATTATATATACAATGTTTACATAATGGGTATTAACAATTGTGTATTATTATGTTTTATCAAAAATGAATTAGTTAAATACAATTATATGTTTAGTAAATAGATATGGATTTATTTTGACAGTTAATTCAATCATGTGTTTCAAAATTAAATAAATAATAATATTTAGTATCTATTGTTTTTAGGTGAAACTTATTTAATTTTTTCTAAATTAGTTCATAAACTATTTATGCAGTAATAAAAATTGATATTTATAATTTTTAAATATTAATAATTAAATACATTTAATTAATAATATTTATTTTTTAACGTTATATCTATAAAAAAAATTAATTTAACATTTACAATTTTTACTCTAAATTACTCAATGTAATCTCATTAACTCTTAAATAATTGTTTTTATTTGGTGTAAATGGGAATTTTATCGCATTTAATTTAATGATTTAAATGTGATAAACTTGTTATTGTTAATAAAACATTTTTTAAAAATATATAACACAATATTTTGCTATTATGTTGATTATCTAATGATTGTTGATGATATATAACATCAATGTTAACTGTGTCCTAAATTTGGTAAATTTTTCTAACATTTGGGGGTCAATTACACTATATTTATTACAATATTTATTTGTATGTATAATATGTTTTATATTTATAAGTCCACACTAACCACTAAAAAAGAGAGATTACAACAAAAATATTTTTAGCATTAATAATAATCACAAAAACATTAATACAGTATAAAATGTGTGTTAATATTTAAAAATTTAATGCATTTAAAAAGCATTGAAAACCACTCCTGTCTGTATAATATAACAAACAGTGTATATATATATATTAATGCAATATTCAATGAGAAAAGTCATATTAAAACCACTATTTCATGATTTGATGATTACTAGTATTATTATTATTTTATCTCAAATTGTTATCTTAAAATCTTTTCATCTCAAATTACATAAAGTATTTGATGGAAAATTATATTATATTATTTTATTTAATTATTTTTTAAATTCATGTCATTTTTGATGACAAAAGAAATGGGATTTATTGTTGATTAAAAATGAAGATGAGTTTACTTATCGTTAATTTCTTATTAAAATTCAAAAATACTTTTTTTGTAAGACTATATAAAAGCACAGTTATCTCAGAGACTACGCAGTGAATAGATTGAAACAAACCACTAGTGTCTCGAGTGAATGGCTTCTCTAAAAGTCTAATACCTGTCCACTCATGCATATACTCAATGAGTATAACTCATAGACATAGCACATGCAATATACAAATATATACAGTGTATATATTTAACATTTACATACATGTACTCACATGGCCTGTATTTAACTATACTGTAGTTATATTCGAGTTTATTATTAATTAATTGTTTCGATATTTTATATATCAATGACTTTTGTTTGATAATTATCATTATATACTATAACTTAAGTTTTAAGTAAAAATATGTTTCACCATAAAAATATATGTCACAAACAAAATCAGTCACTCCTCATATCATATGATTCATACATATCTATTCAATAACCGATTGGAAAGTTGACTGAAAAATACCGTACAAATTGTGATACAATTCATGCGTTTATCAATAGTATAAATAGTTATATACTGTTGTAAAGAAAAACTATTATTGTTTTGTTAATAATGTTTGTTGTTTTTGTGGTTGACTTTCCTTTCTGTGATCTTATTTTATAACAATCTCTTGACTATAAAATCATTTGAACACAAGTTTCTCTTAATTCTCTTAAAACAAAAATTAGTTACACTTTTTTAAGTGATACAAACATTTATTTGGGATACTTTTACATAAATATATAGCAATTGACTGCCAATCCTCAGAGACTACATTTAAGAGTACTGTATATATATATATATATATATATGTTTAAGCACCGGTCGATTATATAACTTGTAGTTATCCAACAACAACAACATTATATAACGCGTCTACAATACTAAAGTATACTAAATCCAATATATTATAAACAAGTCCTTTAATGGGTCACAACGACTCTAAAAATAAATTTTTGTAAAAAGTTTTTTTTAATGCAAACACTGTTTCTTATTAAACATTGATTTGTTAGCACTTGATTTGGTGTGTGGTTTCTCATTGAAATAAATTTTTCAGTTTAAATCTTTGTGCATAAATTTTGCTTTCAGTTTAACTTTTAGTGTGAATTGTCTAAAATTATTATTTATTTGTTATTAAGATTCTAATAATACAATTAACATTATAAATATGGATAATTTTACATAATATAATAATATAAACATTTATTTGTTTATTATAAACTAAATTTCAAAATTATTTTAAAACATTCGTAAGTAAAAATTTTAATTATTTTTAAAATAAGAATTAATGTATCAATAAATCTTTAAGGTAAGTTTATTTATTTTATTTTTAATTTTTAATATAAATATTTATTTATTTTAAATCATAAATATCTAAATAATTTATATAATTATATATTTGTGTATATTTATGATTATATAAATATATTTATACCAATCAATACTATTTTGTATTAAAATTATTTTAAATTAATTTTTACAAAACTTGATTTATATTAAATTTATTTGCATTAAAAAGAGTGAAATTGAGTTCAATACCTCTTAGAAATTAAACTTAGAGTGTATATCAACTATAAATTATACCAAATATTTTATAATGTATTTATTTCTTTTTATTTTACAAATATTCATATCTATTAATATAAATAATTTAATTTATTTTTTAATGACAAACTATTTATAATTTAGACAATAATATATATTTATGTTGATTTATTTTAGTTAATTAATATTTTAAGTGTTATTAATTAATTTTTAGAAATATTTTTAAAAAAATAACACATAATAGTTAACTTAGGATTTAATGGGTTATTAACTACAGTATAAACTAATAGACACTATTTGAAAGCATTGTATCAAATTAGTGTTAAATATAATATGTCGTGAAATTAAAGATTTTAACATTATTATTTTGACATAACTTATATTTTACCTCTATTATTATCATTATTTTCTTTAAAAAGTGATTGGTTAAATTTCGTAATTGTTAAAAAATATTACTTAACACTTTAAAAATAATAATAACTTATTGACGCACATCATATATAAAATATGAATAATAAATATCTATATATTTATACAAATAGGATGAGAATGTATTTAATTATATATAAAATATTTGTGTTTAATTGTAATTTATTACATCTCATATAATCACATTAATTAAATAAAAATAAGATTTGTTTGATTACAAACAAAAAAGTAGCATTTATTACAAATACTGAAATTACAGATACAAATGTTGAAAATACTAATTTTTTGAGTTTTATACTGTATAGTAATTATATAAATAATTTTTTACGATTATTAGAATAAATTGTCGGCTAAATAATTATTTTAACTGACATTTATTACTTTCTCTTTTAACAAAACAAAAAAACTAACAAAAAAAAGGAAGTGATGCTCAAAAATTATCAAATAATTTTCAATATTGTTTTGTTTACATACATAAAAAATATTGAATAAATCATTTCCGTAAATAATTTTTTTTACTTAACTAACTTTTAACCCATTTTTAATATTATTACTATTATTTAAATATAAGGAATGAAAGTTTTTCAATTATTTACAATAGCATTGTTAAGCAATTATTATTATTGCTTTTTATTAATTTGTTTTTTATATTTGCAAATCTATTATCTAATTGATGGATACACTATAGGATTTATAGTTGTTTAACAGCATCGCTCATCTCCTGTTCCCTATTTTTATTTAGTTTTAAAGCTTAATTTTTTTTATTAAAATTTAATAGTAAAAACTATATGAAAATAATAAAGATAAATATAAGAAAACAACAATATACAGGTATAAAACAGAAAATAATTGATTTTTATATTTTTATTTCACGACTGCGAACTCAACCTATTTTTAAGACAAAACTTTTATAATCTTAAAATTTAATGCAATTCAATGTGAATTTTATATTATGAAATCTTAACTAATATATAGACTACCGCTGTGTGTAAAACAAAAAAAATTATCATATATTTTAATGTTTGAATTATAATAAACTTATTTAAAAAATCTTCAATCTATTAATATTATTTATTTTTGTAATTTCATTATATGTGTAATCTTATATTATTTGTCAGATTTGATTCAACAGTGATTTATAAATACAACTAAAATTGACAAAAATGCGAACAATCCTTGTGTTTGCGACACTATGTTTGGCCAAAACAAATGGTGATATCTTTAGCTCAACAGCTCATCTCCAGAGTCTTATGCATCTGTAAGTCAAAAGTTTAAATAATGCGATTAAATCTAATTTCAGCAAATTTATCAATTTTATGATACATTTTATTAGTGAAAGACATTTGGTTAGTGAAATGAGTGACTATTTGACTAAAATGGAGGCAAAATTATATGAGATCAAGAGGTAGTGGTCATCATATTGTTTATTGATATCAACATAAATGATTTAAACCAAATATCTTAATTAACAGTTATTTACATGAGTTTGCGTACACTGCCGGTCGGGAGGAGTTTGCCGGCAAGTTTGCCACCGATGAGATCGTAGGAAATCCCATACAAGCGTTTCAATTAGTTAAACGATTGACAATAAATTGGAGAAGAATTGAGAACATTATGGCAAAAGAAAATCTCTGGAATAGTAATCAAAAGTTTTTTTTAATTATTTTAATTATTTTTAGTTTTTGTCAATACTATTAGTATATCAATATAACTATACTTTAATGCAATAATTATCGCAATTTTTTCTATTATTTTGTTTTAATATATTAGTTGTTGTTTTGGTAGTTATTTTCAGAAATTTAACTTTTTTCTAAAAACATTGCTTTCTTTGTACAAACAAACAGATTTATTGTTAAATTAATGTCACTTTTTGAAAATCTTGAAAACTACTAAAAAAACTTATAAATAGACTGTCATTGAACTTGTCTTTTTTGATAATGAAATTCATTACAGAAAATTATTTTTATTTTTTTATTGTATTTAACAAAAATATGATACCAATATCATTATTAGACCACTTAATGATTTGTATGTCTATGTTATGATTGAAATTATTTCAGAAATTGAAGAGCTAACCGATGTGTATCAGTCATTTATGCCGAGTCAGGAGGACCTTCACGGGGCAGCCCTCGCACTCGTCAGACTTCAGGATACCTATAATCTAAATATGACTGACTTAGCCAAAGGCCAGATCTTAGGCTATCAAACAAACGTTGAGATGACGGGTATGTGTTTATTCATATAAATAAAAACCATTGCATTCCCATTATTGTTAATTAACCTATAAATAAAATATTATGCCTTAAAGTCTAAATACTAGTTTTACAATAATATTTATTTATTAGTAAAATTTTATTCGGATTTATATATATATAAATAAAAAATGAATAATTTTTAAAAAATATTCTCAATTTAAAAGCCCGGGACTGCCTTTATTTGGGAAAACATTCCTTTAATAATGGATATTACGGTCATTCAATTGAGTGGTTTGAGGAGGCGCTCATTAGAGCTCATCGGGAGGACAACCGGACGGCATCGGTAGAGGAAATTATGCCGTTTTATAATATGGCCGTTGAAATTGTATGATAATTTAGTTTTATAATTCTCATAAATTTTTAACTAATACTGATTCTTAAAAAATAATTTTGATTTAATTTATAGCACGATAACCTGGAGACTGACCAAAATTATACGGATTATTTCAATGAAAACCGGATAAAAGGTGCCACCAAATTGAAGATAGTTGAGGGCGAGTCAGATGATTATCACAACTACCAGGCTTTATGTCGCGGAGAAAATCTTAAAGTAAGATACCAAACGTTAGATTTAGTAAATAATATATAATTTATTTATTTTATAAATTGATATTTTTTAGACGGCTAAAGAGGAAAAAAATTTAAAATGCTATTTAACAAATAAAGGAAATCCATTACTCATACTACAGCCCATCAAAGTGGAAGTGTTTAACGAAAATCCATTAGTAGTTATGTTTCACGATTTGATGACTGAATATGAGATGCAAACTTATAAAGATTTGGCAATTCCTATGGTATGACTATATTATTGAATATCATTTAAATTAACTGTTATTTATGGGCACCGGTAGTTGACTCGAGCCAGAGTTCAAACAGAGAATCACGACGACGAAGTATCAAAAGTGAGAACCAGTCAGACGGCTTGGTTTTCGCCACAAAGTCATAAAATGGTCGCTAATCTTAACCATAGAGTCGAAGCCGTCACCGGTCTATCAGTAGATATGGATAAAAGTCACTGTGAATTAGTGCAAATTGCCAATTATGGTATGGGTGGCCACTATGTGCCTCACTATGACTATCTAATAGTCGACCGACCAGAAGATCAAAGACATCTGGCGCCAGCCCGTGAAGTGGCAGCCGGTGACCGGACAGCAACTCTTATGTTTTATGTTAGTCGTGTTTTTTAACAATTTATTATAAATATTAATCAATATATCAGTTAATTTGATATCTAATTCTCAAATTTAAATAGTTATCAGATGTTATCAAAGGTGGTTCGACTGTATTTCCTCGATTGGGTACTAAAGTTACACCAGAAAAAGGTGCTGCAGTTTTCTGGTATAACCTCTACAGAAATGGTGAGGGCATTGAAGACACAGTACACGGGGCCTGTCCTGTACTGATGGGTGAAAAATGGGGTAAATATTTCACTTATTAAAAAAATTCAATTAAGTAACTAAAAATCATTAATAATAATTATTATTACTATTTAAATGACTTTACAATTGAATAGTTGCTAACTATTGGATCAGAGAAATAGGACAGACTTTCAACAGACGGTGCTCTTTAAATCCAAATGAATGAAATAATGATTAAGAAATACAAGTCATTAATATAATTAATATTGAAATAAAATATTAAAATAATTTCAAATATATAAGTATAGCACAAATACAATCAATACTCTATACAGTAACTCATTGTTTCAATTCATGCAAAACTACATTCACTAATGATTTATTGAAAATTTTAACGAATCACTCTTTTGGCTTAATTTTTGTAAATATAAATAATTTGATTCAATTGATATTTAAAAGTGAGATTATTTTTCAAAGATTATTATGTTATATAATTTGTATTATAATTTATAAATGTATTATAAAATAATTTTATTTTAGATATAAAAAATTTAATAAAATGATTTCATGTCAAATTTAATTATAGTATAATTACCGTAATCTATATAATAAGATTTAAAATTTATTATACAATAGATTACGGTATAAATTAATAAAATTTTTAGTTAAAATATAATTTCGTAAAGCATTAATAAAAATACAATTTATTATAAATCATTTATTTTTAAAAAATTAATATTTAATAAAACATTTGCCATTTTTATGAATAAGAATACATATTTGTTTGTCTGAATGAATGCATCGACTGATGGCTTCTGAGACTTGTTGTGTCTTATGTTTGTTAAGACAATTGTAAATAACAAGCAATTTGTCGCTACAGTCGAGATCAACATAATCATAGAAAAGCGTTAATTTCTTGTTATGGGTCTCCAAGAAGTTGTTAATAGAAATCGTCTGATTCATTGACATACTGTTGCAGTGGTAGTTCACTTTTGACAATACTCTGTCTCCAAATTCAAGACCCATACTTAGCTTCAGTTTAACCAATTTCATTGTCGCTATCGCGTCCTCAGCCGAGTCATGACCACTGTGTCGATCATTACTCTCGTGATTCTGTATATCCAAATTCAAAAACTTTTTGCTCAAATATTTGAGCGACGATTTAATTGGTCTCAAACCGGATGTATTGTATATAACACTGGTATCGATAACATAAGGATGAATCAATTGCAAAGCCAATAAATCACTGTTTAAACTTTGACCACAAATAATACCATCTTCAGGAATAAGTTTGTCTAACTCTCTGTAAACGTCTTCTAAGGTAGTGGTGATTGGATCCAACAATTTCTTTGTAATTCCGCTAAATCTCGTCAAATAGTTTACTATTTCATTTGGCGGCTTAACTAATGTGTCGTAAAGGACGACACAGTTCTCGTCGACAACAGAAATACGGGTCACTTCCAGTTTATCAGCTGTTGTGAAACACATCTCACAGTCGATGGCATATAACGGCGATCTATTAGTAACGGGAATGTAATTGGATTTAAGAGTACAAAACGTTTTGCAGGACTTGTCTGAAGACAGCGGATACTTCTCGACGGCCATCTGTAGCGGCGATAACAACAATTCAGTTCTTGAAATCTTCTCTTCATTAGATATTTCAATTGGATTTGATTTAACTGAAGCGTCAGATCTTCTTTTTTTATGCATTTTATCGATCTGTCGATTACTTAACCGAACCGTAAGTAATGAGTTAATCCAATCGTCTTTGACGTCAAATTGGACACAATATTTAAAGTCACTTTCAGAAAACAATTCTTCACTTATGTCCAAATCGATGACAAAAATTGTCACTTTTGATGCTTTCGTTGGCTTAAAAACTTTACACCAATTGGGTGGACACGAGAGTCGAGGTGGAGGCAAAAGTGTCGCTAAAATCAATTGCTGTATGTCTTCAATAGATAGCACTTCGGGTGACTCAGTGGCCAAATATTTGTCTTCAACAGAAATTTTCGGTCTTTCAGTGACCAACCTTTTGGACAACTTTTTTCTTAATTCAGACATTTGTTTAAAGTTTGTGGTAAAAACATTATTATCTTCTTTTTCAATGTTATTATTAACAATAGTTTGGATATAATTGTCTTTCTTCTGCTTTTCGCTGTTCACACCATTAGTATCACTACTAATCAGATCCAAAAATGTTTGGATTTTTTGCTTTTTTCGTTCAAATTTTTCTAACTTTTTATCGCTAATACGTTTCATAACTATTTATTTCAATGTATTTTTCAAATCAATTAATTTAACAAAACATTTGATTGAAAAAAATGTTTTAATAAAACAAATAAATATTAATTAATTTAATTGTTATTTAAAAAACACGTTTTGTGTCGACATTTAAACAACACATTTGTGTGTTAGACGTAATTTATGTTTGAAATAATACAAACATAAATTTATTAATATTTAATACATTGACTCAACACAATTGATATACAATTTGAGCATAAATTACGTCAATAAACAAATACTTGAAGTAAACAAAAACATAGAAAGTATTCAAAATATTTACGAATAAAATCAATGTTTTCCAAGACATGAGTCATTCAAACCAATCAACCGATGGACCCGTCGTTAAGGTATGTCTTCATTGGTTTTGATGACAAAGAGTTTCACAAACTTTTTTGGTCATTATTTTTGTTGTTTTTCAATAGAGATATCGTCGCGAATCTCCGAAATCCGAGTCCAATCAATCAGATGACGACTCGTATGTGCCGTACGTTCCGGTCAAACACCGACAGAAAGCAATGCACCAACAGTTGACTCGTGTCCGCGATTTGGTTTCGTCGACCGACGAGGAAAGGTCACGAACCGGTTTCGATGATCACGAGAACCGTACGGCCGATGGAAGCAAAGCTGCCGAAGTTGTCGATGAGTTAGACGAATGGCGTAAATCTAATGTCAGTCTTTTGGATCAACACAATGAACTGAAAAAAAAGTTTGAACTCAAAAAAGAGTCGGCGATTGAGAAACAACTGAAAGAGGAAGAAAAACTTCTGGAAAGTGTGGCCGAAAAGAAGGCGCTGATGGCTGTGTCTGAGTTGGCTAAAGGTATTCAATACTTTGATCCGATTAAAACCGGTTGGCAACCGCCGCGACATATTCGGGAAATACCTAAAGAAAAACACGAAGCTTTGAGACAAAAGTACCGAATTTTGGTCGAAGGCGAAGACATTCCCGAACCAATCAAAACATTTAAAGAAATGAAATTTCCAAAAAGTATTATAAATGCACTGAAAAAGAAAAAAATTACTAAACCGTCACCCATTCAGATGCAGGGATTACCAGCAGTGCTGTCCGGTCGAGACATGATTGGCATTGCATTTACCGGTTCAGGAAAGACATTGGTGTTTGTGATGCCAGTCATTATGTTCTCTTTAGAACAGGAGCTGTCGCTACCATTTATCAAAGATGAGGGTCCATATGGTCTGATCATATGTCCATCCCGTGAATTGGCCAAACAGACCTACGAAATTATACAGTATTATTGCGAAGCACTGATGCACAGCGGAATGCCTTCTCTTCGGGCGTGTCTATGCATTGGTGGTGTTTCCATCAAAGAACAGGCAGATCTAATTAGACGAGGAGTTCACATAATGGTTGCCACTCCGGGACGTCTGATGGATATGTTGGAGAAGAAAATGATTGGACTCCATGTCTGTCGATATTTAGTTTTGGATGAAGCGGATCGTATGATTGATATGGGATTCGAAGAGGACGTCAGAACCATATTCTCATATTTTAAAGGCCAAAGACAGACACTATTATTTTCAGCGACAATGCCTAAGAAAATCCAGAACTTTGCAAGAAGTGCTTTAGTCAAACCGGTTACAGTTAATGTCGGCCGCGCCGGTGCCGCGTCAAAGGATGTCGAACAACAGGTCGAATATGTTAAACAAGAGGCGAAGATTGTTCACCTATTGGATACATTACAAAAAACAGAGCCACCAGTTCTTATATTTGCAGAGAAGAAACAGGATGTCGATGCCATACATGAATATTTGTTGTTAAAAGGTGTAGAAGCGGTGGCCATTCACGGTGGCAAAGATCAAGAAGAGAGATCACGCGCTGTGGCCGAGTTTAGGCGCTCAGAAAAGGATGTCTTAGTGGCCACTGATGTTGCTTCTAAAGGACTCGATTTTCAAGAGATCAAACATGTTATTAATTATGATATGCCGGGAGATATTGAAGATTATGTGCACCGAATTGGTCGTACGGGTCGTTATGGTAGACAAGGAATAGCGACAACTTTTATTAATAAATCGATCGAAGAATCAATTTTATTGGATTTAAAGCATCTGCTTATTGAAGCCAAACAAATATTACCCCCATTTCTTGAGGCACTTCAATCGGAATCTGAAAAATATTTGGATTTGGGAGATGAAAGGGGATGTGCTTATTGTGGCGGTTTGGGTCATCGTATCACTAACTGTCCTAAACTGGAGGCCATGCAAAACAAACAGGCCTCGAGTGTCGGCCGCAAAGATTACTTGGCCGCCGGAACAGCTGATTGGTGAACATGTTATATGCATTTATTTTTTTATTAAATATATTAAAAATATCATTTTGTATTTATCTTATCATATAATAAATATTTGTTTTTACTGTAAAATATTTTATTTACTTTAACGGTAGTAGTTTTTTCAAATGTTGTTATTATTATTACCTCAATTAATATTATTTAGTATGAATTAGTTTATAGATGACTTAAAAATTAATATTACCTGTATATGCAATGTACTACTTATTAGTAATTTAATTATTATAATTTATAAGTTGTCTATACACTTATCGATATAAGTTTATACATTATATTTTTGGAAATTTCAAGACACTACAATATAATTGCTGTCATTATTATTTTGATATATTAATTGTCGGCTCAATGATTGTTGGGAAATGGCTTTCCTATTGTTAGGTTAGTCGGCAAACCGTCTATTGTCTTGAATGGACAGTTAATCTCTTCACATGGATTCGTCTAATTTCAATTGCATTCCTTTCAAAACACTATTACCACAGCTATTAATAGGTTATTAGCGGCTCTGGCTATCTATAAGTAGTCCAGTAGTGCACAGTTAACATATATTAGAGTATACAATGCATTACACGTATATATATATATAAAAGAGGAACCGTTCATTAGTGACCTTTTAAATGGTCAACAAAATAGATTATATATACATTCTGTATATATGTACAGGTAGTATAGGTATATATTGCAATGTATATCATTATTAATCTATTGGTTATCTTATATTTATAGGATAGCATAACCTAAGTGTGTGTGTGTGTGTGTAAGCTTGAGAGGAACGTATGGTTTCTTAAAATGCTAATAACCTATTAATAACCTGAAATGAATGCCCAGTTGGCTATTCCTAAGAACAGATTAATAAGTTAATGACCACAATGTAAGTCAGTGCCAAAGAGCCAGTGCACCGTTGGGTCAATGCTGTACTGTTTAAAGGCATCTCAAATATTTACCAACTTTTGGCAATTGGTGTGTGATTTTAGAGCTGGTATTTAATAGCATCGATGATAGTTTCATATAAAGTTATGGTTACCAATGCTATTGGATATCGTCCGCACGTTTTGATTGAGCACACGTACTCTGTAGGCCTATCATTGGGCGCACAGCGCCGGCACTCCATCTCTGGGCGTCACCGATGCGTATGGGAAAGGGAGTGGTCTCAGTGGACGTGTATGCGATGCACTTGTTGTCGTGACACAGGCATCAACATGTGAGATAGTGCTTCCTCAGGGATAGGCATCTGAGCACTTGCACGCCAATAGATGATATTATTGCCACTGAGAGAGACATTTGAGAGAAGACCTCAGAGCTACCTACCAGTGCCATACAAATTCACATGTGGTTTGAATGACTTAAGACTAAATCCCTAATCAATTGTTTAGTATAGCAATTGCTGAGCTTTTTTCCACTCAGTTTTGTTGTATTTGTGAAAAGTAACGTTTAATTCTCGATACAAATATATTTATTATTATATTATTAAACTTTTTTGTATCAAAACTATTGAGATATACAGTACATTGGGATTCGGTTTGTCCATTGATTTCATTGATTTGGTTGAAAAAATCAAAACCCATAAAATTTTCATCAATTAAATATATTTTTTGTGTCAAATAAATTGATAAATAAAATAATAACATCCATTGACTCCAATCGCTATTTGGTGAACACTATTATTGTTGACTTATATATACTGTATTTGTATTATTGTAATACGTGAACGGCGACCAAGTGTCCCGATAAACGGCCCAATTGTGGCGTATTCAGTGTCGTCGATGTTTGGTCTACACCATACGGGTGATACGTCTGGTCTGCACCAACCTCGGGGCCCATGTATGGCACCGACCACCACACTCAAGGAAGAACCATCATTGCATGTGCCGACAGCACATCACCCGCACGCGCAGTTACATCATCACCATCATCACCACGGAGTTCGTACAGGTGCCGCATGGATGCAATCATCTATGCTTGACCAGGCTTCTGTGGCCAGGTTTGTACCATTTTAGGATTATTTACTTCAATTTTATGTCTTAATATATTTTTAATTATTATATTATATTAGTATAATTGATGTGTAAATTGCAAAGTGTCGTCAATTGTCATTATTTTTTATGTGTAAATGTGTAAACATGTTAATGAAAATGATGTACTAATTGTGTTATTGTATTGTTTTACACTCCATATACTGCTTTCATATATATAGCATAGGCTTAGGTCGAGCCCACTTCGAGAAGCAGCCGCCGTCCAACTTAAGGAAAAGCAATTTCTTTCACTTTGTTATCGCACTCTACGATAAGGCCAACCAACCCGTGGAGGTCGAGAGGACAACATTTATCGGCTTTGTTGAAAAAGATCAGGTATGTCACAAACTAATCATATTTTAATTTGTTTTTTTGTGTAATCATTTTTAATTATTTTATTTTGTAATAATAATTACATTTATAATTATAAAATGTTTGTTTTTACATAATATTTACGATATTATTAGGAACTTGACGGTCAAAAAACAAATAATGGTATCCATTATAGACTTCAACTGCTTTACGCAAACGGTAATACTTTTTATCTTATTTTTGTGACACTCTTTACTACAGTTTTTTTTAAACCTTAATCCTTATGTTTTTGTATTTTTGTTGGAATATATATATATATATATACTGTATATAGTAATTATATACAAGAGCTTAATATACCTTTTCATGTCATATATATATATATATTCTGTATTTTATTGAGTGTTATCTCTGATAACTGAAAAACGGTAGCAAAACACTGACAAAACATAGACATTGCATAGCATTTGAATCGATTGGTTAATACATAATTCAAAAAGCATTAAATCAATTACTTATTTCTCTCTCTCTCTCTCTCTCACACACACACTCACTCACTCACTCATTGACTCATTTTCTTTGGATAAAACAGGTGTCAGACAAGAACAAGATCTCTACGTACGACTCATCGATTCAGTCACCAAACAGGTATGTCCACCACTATATCAAAGATAACACAAACATATAGCACATGACAAGTGATAAAATTTTCAGATAATTTATGAATATTTTGATGTCGACTATTTTGCCAACCAATGCATCGCTGAATACAAACTAACGTTTAAGTTTAACACACACTTTCTGTGCTGTATGTAAAACAGTATAACTCATAACTAACCAAAACATTATTATCAATATTAATAAATGTGTTTTGATGTCTATGTTTGCAAAGCAAATGCCACCAAAAAAATATTATAAGTCTTACATAAGAGTGATGTATTAATATTTGCATTTAGTTTATTAGTTTGATTTCAAGCTTCATAGCACTTGATATCCATAAATCATTTGGTAATTCATTTATTAGTAACCATTATTATTCTTCAACAATGAAACATATATATCAATACATTATATCTGTTCAGATAAGTCTCAATTTCATTGTCTGATTATATATTGATCAAAATAAATTATATAAATATATTCATAGATATGTCGTAAAACAAACAAAACATAAAAGTTATAGTTTGATAGACTTTATATATATTACAATATATATAAAGAAAAACAAATCAGTGAAAACAAAACTAAACTATTTTTATTAATTCGTTTATAAAAATTATATATTAAATATAATAAATATTTATCTTTCAATTAAACCAACATTTATGGAGCATTTGCAAAATGATTAGCTAATGTTTACTGTTTTAATAAATCTCGTGAATAAATACAGTATATGTATAAATTATATTTCAATAAATTTAACTTACGTTTTGTAAAAATATACAAATTTATACAGCATTATTATATTATTTATATCCTACTGTCTATTTGTTTATTTGAGTAAATAGTAAAATGAGACCAGACAAATGAGAGAGAAAAGTCAAAAACAGCCCATAACTATTTAGACTCATTTATAAAAGGCCCAACTTTACAATAAACATTAATAATGTAAATTAAACAAAATTTAACTCTATTATCAATTATTTATTTATAATAAATTTAATTTAATAGTTATTTATACTTTTGAATGAAATATTAATAAAAATGTGTTATAAATTTTGAATTAAACTATTTGTAAAAATATTTGAAATCAAATGATAGAGATTAAGAAAGTTTTTCAGTTGTTTAAGGATTAGTACTATTTTTGATAAGAGTCATCAGTTTATGGGCTGTTCTTGATTTTTCTCTCTCAAATATATAAATTTATATATTATATAAAAAAAAATATAATACATATTGCATTTGAACTTATATTAACCATAATATATATTAATATTTTACTCGAGTGTTGCTATTCTCTCTCACTGTTATATCAATAGTAAAGAGAGTGAAGAAGCAAATAGAAAGAAACTGGTGCTGAGCTGCCGGTGCTCATGAAGCGCGTGATTCATATAAAAACAAAACCACCAAATGATAAATCAGCCGCTTTTGATCCTACAGTCAAAAAGTCTATTGATTTTCCCTATCATTGAGATTGGGTAAGGAGTGAGAGTACATAGAGCTCTGTATGTTTGTAGGGCTTACTCGAGATTATATACATTAATGGCTTTTGAGTGGATTCTCCACATTCTTGGTGGTTAACAAACTAAACACTTTATTTGGCTTATAATCATAATGTAAAACATTTTAAAGTTGACCTCAAAAAAAGAGTCACTGTTAGCAGTCATTGTCAACATTTATAATTTATAATAATATATATGGACTTTAATTTTCAAAATGTTTTTAAAGAGTAGTACACAAACAATACTATATATTAATCAATTGGATTGAATCCAATCAATTGTTCCAAACCAATGAGCGCTCAATTCATTGCACTAGTAATACACCAGAAAAAATACCACACAAACACACATACATATACTACATACACAAACACACATACATATACTACATACACAAACACACATACATATACTACATACACAAACACACATACATATACTACATACACAAACACACATACATATACTACATACACAAACACACATACATATACTACATACACAAACACACATACATATACTTTCTTTAAGCTAACAGTGCTGTTCGCTAACCAAACACTGAATTAGTGTCTCATCTCTTCTCTATTTTTTGTGGATTCAATGAAACGTTTCACTTCAATCTAACGCTTGTCTGGGCACAGGCAGCTCATGGCTCAGACACAACCATATATTCAAAGTTTTTGCATAAATTAGTCAAACAAATTCAACATTGACTTTAAAGAAAACGATAGATATTTTGCTGAAAAAGATTGATTACATACACCACTACTTGTTTCAATTCTCTATTATATATGTAAAGATATTTGCTTATATTATAGCTATAATATTAGTAATATGATATAAAGGTAAAAATTTTATACACAAATATATACTGTATAATATACATACGCTATATATTATATACTGTATAGATATATAAATAATTTTATTGCTACAAAAATTCATTGGAGAATAAATTTACTGAATCTTAAACACAATTATTAGTCACAAATAAAAAGCTTCTTATATTTTTTGCTATTAAAATGCGCTGATTTTACATATCATCACTAAATAATTGGTACTTAAGTAGAGAGTATTAAAAAATAGATGATACGATATAACAGTACTTTAAAACTAATTTTTCTAATATAATATTTAAATTTGAAATTTTTGAAAATAAAACACAACTTAAATATATTTGATATTTAATGAAGTATTTTGGTGTTATTGTAGTAGTTTTTGTCTGTGTGTTAGTGTTTATACAATGTATTGAATCTTTAGGGGATTGTTTTGTGTGTCTGTAATGTTATTGCTGTACTTCAAAAAAGTCTATGAATTTACAATGTAATCGATTTTTATATACAAAAATTTGTGTGACATGTGATATGAAATGTCCACCACATCTCTCTTTTCATGTATGAGCCCTCGTTAGCAATAATTGTTTTGTCCCTATCGTTAACATACATACAAGTGAACACATGGTCGACTCATTAGGCCACCTGCCAGTGCTCTTTTGATATAAGCCCATTTCAGTGCAAACCATTAATACAATCAGTTTTATAATATCAGATTTTTATGAATTAAATGTTAGATATTTTTATAAATATTTGATTATTTGATTGTCAACTCTTCAAAAACCAAAAGTAATGAATTGTCGCCTCAAATGACGCTTTCTTGCAAATACATGACTACTATCACTACATGTTTACTATTACTACTGTATATATATTTTTTTCGGGCACTTGTAGTCAGTCAGTGACAGTATAATACACACTACTAGTGATGTGTATGTATTATGTGGTATCTATGATGAACATTGAAATGCTTTTCGTGTTTAGGTTTTGAGAGATGTTTTCTATTAACAAGTAGTACATACATGTGTGCATAGTATAGGCATAGGAGGAGAGGGAGAGACCAAAAATGATACGTTTCAATAGTTACCAGTGCTTGCCCTCTGAAAATACATTATATACTTCACTAATATTGTATAGAAAGAGCCGTTCATTCATTGATGCCCTCTATATTGAAGCAGATGTCAGTCAACCATATAGTAGGTGCTCTCTCTCTCTCCCTCTCGCACTTTCATTACATTATATAAAACTATTATTTTTATTATAGTCATTGATTTCACTCATGTGTCTGCAATGTTGTGATAATTGTGGCCCATATGGGTGTATGGATGGAATGTATGGGTCCGATACACCCGAAAACCTGTTCATTTGTATGTTATATGCGCTTCTCTATTAAAAAATAAAATGCAAACTTGGCACCGGGTATTTAAATAATGAAATTATAAATGAATCAAAAAAGCATAAAATTCAATGCAATTTTTATATACATAACAAAACATTTTTTGTGAGCAAATAAATGACTGTTTAATTTATTTTGTCAGTATTTTATTGATAACTAACACATATATAAATTAGTTTATATACACACTAACTATTAATGGGGTGAAAATATTATCACAAAAAACAGCACAATATATAACAATAAATATAAAATATAAACATTTTTTGAGTTTATCTTAATATACTGTATATTTGTTATTATTGATATACTTGTTTTATATCTATTAATATACAATTTTCTGTCCATTAAAAGGCAATCATATATGAAGGTCAGGACAAAAACCCGGAGATGTGTCGCGTACTGCTCACCCATGAAGTCATGTGCAGGTAATTGAGCTCTTGTTGACCATTAATATACACAATACATCACTTATTCTCATATCACATCATTTATTATATTTTTTTATAAACTACATGTTGACAATTCAATCAATTAATTTTTGTTTACTTTCTATTTTGAAAATTAAAAAAATATATTTTTAAATTATTTATTTATTTTAGCCGCTGTTGCGATAAGAAAAGCTGTGGCAATAGAAATGAGACGCCATCTGATCCAGTGATCATTGATCGGTAAGTTTTGTCACATATTTTTTTTAAATGCATGCATTAATTGTATGTCATTTTTTCGCTAAATATGTTAACCAAAAGCCAAATTGTTATTACAACGTATTTAGGGCTTTTAAATTAGGATAAAATTTTGAATTAAAGCATTTCCAAAAAATACATCCAAACACTAGAAATTGTGCAAAAAAAGCTTAATATATATATTATTAATTCCAAATATTTTTGTTCAGTATTATTATTATAACTAAAATTATGCATAATTTATATTATGCACTGAACATATCAAATGAATATAATTTGAGGCATAAAAAGGGATGAAAATAAAAACCATTGAATATATGAGTTAGATTTTATATATCATATTATATGCAGTCTATGTATAAAAACTATTTTAAGTTTACATTTAAAGCACAATTAATGCATAAAACAGATGAGCGAAAAGTTTTTTTTGCGATAATAAGCGCGAAACGCGTGTGTGTTATATACGGTTTGTGCCCAACATCTCGAATATCAGTGCTTTATATTATATAAATTTTTATGTTATCAGTGCCTTCATTATATAGTTTATGAAGGGATAACCCATAGTAGGAAAGGGAGATGTTATCATTGCCTCTCATGCAAAGCACCACTCTATTGATTGTAAAGCCCCGGCACGTGCGGCAATGAAAAGGCGTGCGTTTAAGAGCGCGTGCCGGCGACCTTTCAAATGATAACATTTGCGTAATTTAAATATCTTAGCCTAAAAACGGTCTGATCATCGAAATGACTGATCCATAAACTGTCAATTGTTTCGTTATTTTTTATATACTGGTATAAACTATTATTTTAAAAACATTTTATCCACAAAACAAGTAGTTTTGTTATAATTGTGAGTAAACATTCATTTACTGTATATTTAATATTATATATTTGATATTCAAATATTTACTTGGATTATAATATGTATAAAATTTATGTTATATTCTATATAAATTTACATGAAGTAAAAAAAATATTTACAAAATTGTTAAAATGATTTATTTGGCAACTTATGTTTAAATTTGACATTATTTTTCAAAATTGTTGTTATTTATTGATATTATAATACCAGTAAACGAGACACTGATTTTGAAGTGCTATTTATTAGACTTAATCAGTAATTTATGGTTTTGTATTGTTGTTGATATGCACTTGTGATTTGAAGCATCACTGAGAGAACAGGTCTATAATTGTTGTATTAGTGAGTGAGTGAGTGATATATAGATAAATAGATAGATAGATAAATAGAAAGATAGATAGAGAGAGAGAGAGAGTTGGCTGATGAGGTTTCCCTGAATGTTACATATGATAATCCTCTTGAGTTGAGCAGATGGTCTGCCCTATCGTTTGCTAGCATATAATGCATCGACAAAAGCATTTGCCATAATTTTGGGCCACATTTGTGTGTTATGTTTAATACTATATATAAAACTCGTAGTCATTGTTATTATTCAATCACAACTTTCTCTTCCCTTTTTTCAGTGCTTAACAATCATATATACTGTCAAATGAGATACAGAAGCGAACGATTCATATATGAATTACTAAAGCATAAAACTAACTCAATTCACCACCAATTTAACGACAAATAAATAAAAAATATTTATAATAAATGCACGTTTGAACAAATAGTTAAACAATTATTAAAATTCAATTTTAAAAATTAAAAATATATATATATATTGAAAAATAATTGACAGCAATTTGTACGTTATTAGAAATTTATATGTTTTATAAGTTTATACATACAATTTAGTCAGTTTCTCTACTATACTGTATTGATTTAATCAATTATATTACTCCATATTTGGACACTAAATTGGTTAACATTGAATTTAATAGACACACGCTTTATATATACTTATATTTAATATATAAACTGCACTTTTCTCCTCACTATTTCTCAAATTTACTCAAATATAACCAAATTGTTTTATCCAAATATAATATTGATGTTCACAATGTAAAAGTTGTGTGCATTAGTGAGTTAGTCAGCAATGCGTACCTACAGCATACCAGTGCCCATGTTATGTCCATTATATTATCATACAGTCAATATTGACTTCAGTATATACCAAGCTTTATTTTTACTATATTTTTATATTATACATTATAGCAACCAATAAACTTATATACCATACTGTACTGTACTGTATATAATAAAGTTAAAAAAAACCCGGTCAACGTTTTTAGCCAAAACTAACTGTACTTTGGCTCACACGTAGATCTGTGTTTGTATTGTCTTTGTATTATACAGTACTTTACTGACACAACAGTGCAATAATAACGATTTGATTTATCAAATACATTATATATTTGATTGGCCGTCAGGGGCTTCTTCACTATTATCAAGAGTTTTACTATTTTTTGTCTGTCTGTCTATAGCCAGAGTGTTGGCTCTGAGCTGTTTTCAACCAACCACTCCCGAGACATACAAACTAAATATCTCAGCATTTAAATTAAGTTTATGATTATTTTCAATCTGAAGACAACTTATATGTTGAATAGTATAGTAAATGTTTTTTTTATTAAAACTAAACAAGAAATACAAGAGAAGACTATTTTGATATTTTTAAAGTTTTCACTAAAAGTTTAATCAATTTGTTATTATTTGGTTTGAATTATGAATGAATGATCGGTCAAAATATTATTATATATATTTATATTAGAATATTTGTAATTGCAATTTAATTATTTTATAATAATATATACTAAACAACTATTTTTACAAAAATAATTAGAATTTATAAGTACAAAAAAATTATATAATTATGTAAAATAAGTAAAGCATTACATTATTTGAAAAAAATAAACACTATTTCAACAAATAAACAAATTAACTATTAATTAATGTAATGTTACCAGAAAACTAATATATGGAGTAATGTGAGGACAGGTAGTTTATTATAGCAAACTGGGGTTAATGGCTATATAGTAAGGAGTAGTATAAGAGAGTAATTGCAAGCAATCGATGATTTTATAGCATCTTTTGTTAATTTAGATGATTTGAGAGCACATATAAGCTATTTGTTCACAAATGGCAACTAAAAGCTGTGAGCACATGCTCTCAGACAATACTAATAGTTTGTTTGCTCCGAGACTTTCAAACTAATATAACAGCACTTTTCATCCATCGTCTCACTGACTGATGAATTATTGACGAGAATTTGTGAGCAATGCTATCGTGTTATATGTAGTATATATATACAGTATGTATGTATGTGTGTGTGTGTGTGTGGGGAATGAGAGGTAGAGTATGAGAGAGAGAGAGAGAGAGAGGAGATGTATGATGAATACAATACTAGTGCCATACTATGCCAAACAGCTAATTTGGTGACTTTGTAATAATAATAATAATAATCAATGAACCGATGCATTTGTATATATTGGTATACATAACTGGTGCTACATAACACTCGTAGGTTATAAAATCCAACACAAAGGGGATCTCAATGAGTGTCCTATTGTATGAGTATTGGTATTACAATAGGGATGTAATGTCGAAAAAGGAGTGCATTATTTTTGTATTATACTGTATAGTGTATAATCAGTATGTACTGTATCTATTAGTTTATATATATATATATATATAACTACATCATATAATATTTGGCAGATGTGCACTAAAAAAGTGAAACTTCAATTTTGATATTATATTTTTATTCATTTTGATTGTTATATACGAAATATATAGTTTTATTATTATTACTGCTATTATTATAGCTATGATTATAATACAGTGCAAGTGTATTGAATGAGTGAAGTATAATATATATTAAATATATGAATGAATAAATGGTTGAGAGGTGTATGAAATAATACAATAATACAAATTTTGTAATAATATATATTACAGAAACTGTAAAAAAGTTATATTAAGAATTTGAAATTATTTAAGTTAACACATTATTGTGGAAATTATTAAACAAATAGTCAATATTATTCTTATTATTATATATGTGTGTATATATACTGTATATTTAATGATTTATAAATGCATTAAATGCTATTCATCTCTCTTTCTCTGTATTTCTAATTTGAAACCTTTTCCTCATCTCTATCTCATCTTTACTATTGAAGAACACATTCACTATTTTGATGTCAAAAATCAATTCCTATTATTTTATTATATATATTATATTTTCCCTTTACTTGACGTAAGCCTCACTTTTAGATATCTAATATTATATACAATATAATAAAAGTATTGGCACTCATTGAAAAGCATGTGTTTTGAGTGCAGCCAGCATTCAAGCACACAATATTGTATTTTTGTAGCCCACTATTTCCGTAGGGCCTTCCCTTAGCTCTCTGCCCACCAGTTTGTTATCTGATGCGCTTATTATGATGTGATCCGATAGCCACTTCTCTCTCTCTAATATAGCAATGACTAACTCACCTCTCTTTTCCGGATAACATTTCATTTATAGCTTTTTGTGTGACATTTATGAGATAAATGGGCAAAACTGTATGTTCAATAAAAGTTGTAAATTTTGTCCAAACATTAATTTGGTTACTTTTTCTATTGTTTTAATTTTATGTGATTATTACTTTTTTAAAAATTTGTTTTATATCTATTTTTAAACTATAATTATCTGAAAACATGTAATCAAAATAAAAATTTGTTAATCATAGAAAATTAGTATAAATTACATTAGTAATAATAATTATATGAATGGTTTTCTTACATAATAATTATTGATATAGTGAAACAATATATCATACATTTTAGTTAACATTTTACAATATCTTATATGGGTTTCTATAATAATAATAAATTGCCATATAATCATTTATGTAAACAGTTTTACCTTATGTTAAATTTGGATGTCATGGACAGTGATATGATCCCTAATCTAACAAACATTGAGATATAAGTTGAGTTTTATCATGAAATTGTATGCCAATGAAGTCATCACAAACTTTGACTGCAATAGTATCGTTCAGACACTCATTTATGTCATACAATAGAGTTTGTTGTTTGAAAG